AAAAACTGGACTAAGGACTTCAGTTGTCATTTGCTTGCTCCTGTAACAGGCTCTGCTTAGTGATAAACCAGACTCCTCGTGCACTTGTGATGAGTGACTTTTGTGCCAGCGACTGAGGGGACAGAACACTCCCATAATCCCCAACACAGACTCCACATAATCCCTAGAGGTGTTTTTTTTGTCATATATCACATCCATTTCTAACTAAACTGTTTCCCTGGAACATATTTAACTGAAAAAAAGTCATTGCTCTGCATGAATTGCTGCTGCTCTAGATATGGCTTGGTCTGGCCTAGTTATCTCCTAGACAGAATTAAGCAAGTCCTGACTAATGAAACAAAAATACTGTTGAAATGAATGTTACCACTGATTCTTTAGCATGATAGCAACACTTAAATGTACACTGCTTCCAGTGTTTATCCCTGCATACACATAGGTTTAGTTGTGCAAAGCCCACACTTAATTTTTAGGCAGACTAAGCTTTCCCAGGCTCTGGACTTTTCTCACAGTCTTTGTAAACCTCACCTGCTGCTTCTTTAACTCCCGTGTCATACAGGTGTTTACAGAGCAAACCTCCTGTTCTAGAGCAGTGTATGACAAGGAAAAGGTAAATGATGATAAAAACTGACACGTTTCCTCAAAAAATCCCCTTTGAACCACAAAGTCCCCTGGTGGGGACCTCTGATGCTGTACTGAAACAGGTCTTGTGCTGGTTCTCAAAAAGTTGTCTTGGAAGATGGTTTTTAAATAAATCATAGTTTTCATTTGTAACTGGGTTTAAAGTTTCACTGGGCCAGTTCTGTAGCACTGAAGAGCCAGCTGAGATCATTCACACTGTTGAAGTTGTGGTTTCAGTCCCTGATATTAAAACTGTTCTTAAATAAATGATCACTGTATTCTTGTTTAATGCCAGGGTCCTACAGTTCTTCAGCACTAGGTCAAGGCAGGCTCTGTGTCCTGCCTGTTTTCAGGAAGCTTTTCTTCCCAAAACTCTACCTTGGGTTTCCACTGTGCATAGCTAAAAAGAAAGATTGAAATGTCAAACATAGCAAAACACAACAAAAAAGAACCATGGTGGATGGTGAAATCTATATGGACAGCAGGTCATTATTGATATATTAATTCTGGATTTAGAATTAAAGACCCAAAGAAAGTAAGTGCTTTTAGCAGCTGGCAGATGTTTGTTGTGCCACAGGATGGCAGCAGCTGCCCTCGACAAGGGGTGAGGCAGCACCTCCCTGTGCACATTGCATTAAAGAGTATCTCCTTTTGGTTTTTTTACCATTTATATTTGGGTTTTTTCACTATCATAAGAAAAACATAGAAGAGCAACAGTTTAAGAGTCACTCATGTTGTGCAGCTTGGCTTGGAGTCGATTGTACTGCTGCGAGCAGGGCTGGAGTAAACAGTCCCATGGACACACAGGCAGCAGGGCACAAACACCAGCAATCCCACATCAATCCCTGCAGACTTTGCAGCTTTCTGCACAGGAATTAGAGGGAATTCTCTGGGGTTTGTGGTTTGCTCAGCTGTCCCCACGCTCCCCACCGTCAGGTTTGGGGATGTTTGTGCAAATAGGTTGTGGCTCAAGTAAAGGCTTCAATGTACACATGGCACACTTCATGGGGAACCTGGCTCTGCAGCCAGGGCTGGATTAAAGAGAGGAGCATGTAAATAAGTTTAATTTTGAGGAGTGGAGAGAACAAGCCACACTCTGAAGACGAGCCTTTATGTTGCTGCTTGCGTTGCTCACCGTGCTTTCAATTTTAAGCACAACATTCCTGTTGGGACTTGTTACAAGTATGTGAGTTTCGTTCCTAATGAAAAGCTCAAACCCAAGAACTATTTATAGAAGCTGCACAAGCTCCTCTCTCTGCCAGCCTGCCCAGCCAGCTGGATGTGAGTGACAGGGCTCTTGGGGCTTAGCTGCCCATTCATGCCTTGGCTGGGCTTCTAAAAACACCAAAATGGCCACAGGGTTTATATCAGCTGCTCAGGAGAAATTGGACCAAGCCCTGGCTAAGCTGGAATTCAAACTGTTGCTGAGCTGTGCTTTCCTGTCCTTTTAATCTGACGTGCAAAGATCTCAATCTTACAGCACACACACCACCTAAAACAACACTGAAAAAAAAGTCAGACCACACGTGTGATAAAACAACAGGTCCAGAAATATTTAATGCAAGAAGGTTGGTGTTCAATGGCACTCATAAATAAGAGACTTTGTTCAACACTTTACAACTAAAGCTCTGTTATACTCCATTAGCTGGTACTTTTGGGGAAGAGGCAGCTGCAGGGGATAATTTCAGTTGTGTCATGACTCAAATGACCAAACGGCATCAGAGAGGGTTGAAGTGAGAGTAATTCCACTGCCAGGCTTCAGGGTTGCTCTCAGCACTACCTGGGCTGTGAGGCAGCTTTGCTCCATTACTACCCCTTAGTTTTTTTTGTTTCTTCATCTCCTGTTGCTGAATTTACACAGGGAACCAGCTGGGGAGGAGCAGGGACAGGAATCCAAGTACAGTTTATCCACGTACCTGACAGAGTCACCTGCCCCAGGAAGGGGGAGCTCTTCCTCATCCCTGCAGCCCTTGCTCTTCATCAGAGACTTCCCTTTGTCCCCAAGTGCTGTGGCTGCCAACAGCTCTGACAGTGGCTCCTTTGTCACACAGTTCCCAACGGCCCCGACAGAAATGCCTTGGTTGTTACTGAAACAGTAGAATTTGCTGAATGCATTCAAAGGAAGCAGGGATAGCCCAAAGTGTCTGAAGAATAGGAGAGTTCCACTGCTTAAAACATGTGTGCTGACCAGTTTTACAACTGGGAGCAGAGTCCAGCCCGAGCTAGTGACAGCTCAGTCCACTGTGCACTCCCAGAATGGGTGTTCTTGAATGAATAATGGCTGTTTTATAAGGCTGGTTTACATTATCATGTTTGTAATAGTTAATTTATATGAATATGTCTGCTAGAAATGAGACACTCCATGCTCTGTGACATCATCTAACAACTCCATCTGAATTCTGTGTCTGGGTTGAAATAGTAAATGTGACATTGGAGTGTCACATTTTGCTCTAAAAACTTGAGGATATGCTCAAATTTAGAATTCGTGAGGTGGAAAAGTGCACACACACCACACTTCTCCAGACCTATAGTGGGCAAAACCCAATCTCAGAGGCCCAAAATCTCCCAATGAGCCTTTAAATTTAAAACTGCTTTTGAGAACTAACTTGCAGTTATAATTTTTTCAAAATAATAAATTAACAGGAAGAAAACAATTAAGTTGCAATATTATCAGAGAAGCTTCTTTGTTTTCTTTCAAGTTTAAGTGGTGAAGCTTCATCCAATACTAAAACATGACCCTGAAGCCACTCAAGCAGGGCCACAGCTTTACTTCCACAGATCAGTGAGAATCCTCAAGATGCTCCTTGCATGGAGAAACTTTTATGTTTTGGGATGGGGGTTATTCCACATGACACCTGGCACACTTCAATATCCACAGAGTTACTCCATAATCACTTTTCTCCATAAACATTTTTTTTTAAACCAACACCCAGATATTTAAAGCCAATTATTTCAATATTGGCTGCGGTGAGCATTGGAAATCTTCCAAGTCACTGCGACTTACTGGCATAAAAATGCCCTTTAAATTAGCTATTAGACTGATTATGGTATTTGCATTTTCATTTTATTCACAGCAAAGTAAAGTTCAGAATACTTTGAAGCTGCTGCAGTATCTGAAAGGGCTGTTAAATTACTGGGTAAAACTGGAAATAACATAGGATGCCAATGACATGACATGAATATCAAGATAACTTTTGAGAATTCCACCATGAAGGAATATTTATCACTGAATTCCAGTTGAATTGTAGAGCAAAATCTGCTTACAGGCACATGTACAGGTGTGTGCCAGGCAGGATGAGCTGGAGTGGAACTAATTTATAGCATTGAAAATAGAAAGTGCTTTCCATAAAAATAGACTAATGTCTCAAAGTGCTTTTAGTTTGTCAGTGATTAGACAACATTCTCTACAAGTTTTTACAGTTATCTTACAGAGATTCTCAGCAAGTTTACCTACGAGGAAGAGCTTTTATTTCTACTTTCAGGAAGCTGGTTTTATTCAAAGCTTTGGTCAGCTGTTGTGAGACTGCACTGCTCACTCTGGAGTATAAAATACCTTTATCTTTAAGGCTTCTTGTATCTCCCACCCCCTGCACAGCCACAACCAGCTCCTTCAGAGGCACAGGCACATCCAGCACCTCTGGAAGCAGCGGGAGCCAGCTCCCTCAGGGATGTCAGTGCAGCCACCCCACACACCAGGACTGTAACTACCCTACAGAAATTTGGCTTCTTAGTCCCCAAATCAGGCAAACTAAAGCCAAGTCTCAGCAGAGCAGTTTACAAGGACGCTGTAGCTGAGCTTTTAGGGGTGGGGGTTACATGAATACGAAGTGGCAAGAGACCCCTCAGGGGAAGCACCACCAGCACAGCACCTTGGCAAGTCACTGGCACCCACCAGCTGAAAAGAAAAGAAGGATTGCTCCACATCCTAAGTCTCCAAAGGGCTTTAGAGCCATCCATCCAGGCCTCACAGCCTCCTTCCATGAGGAATAATTACCAACAGAGACATTTCCAGTGACCAAAAGGCACAGCAAAGCAAGGCCCCTGCTCCCAAAGCTGCTCCCTGGAAGAGGAGGGCAGGCCCTGACAGCCAGGAGCTGTTGTAAGGCATCAGCATAATTGATTTGCTCCAGGCTGTTGAAGGAGGTGGGGATGGAAGAGGTCAGGATCTGGACATCCTAAACTCTCTTTCTATCCCATTGGCCTCACACTCTTATTTTAATCCCCCTACCCTGAGCTATACACTGGCTTGCTTCCATAATGCACATCTCCCAGTTGGTTTCTCCCTACTCCCAAGCATGTTGGAGTTAAACCAACTCAAAAAAAACCAATCCCAAACCAACTTTTCCAGTGGTGATGCTCTTCAAAGAGAACTAAGGACACTCTTTGGCTTTCTCAGACGACCTATCAGGCTGCAATTCTGAAAACAATCCAAGGGGAAAATGGGGAAAAAGGCAAACCACGTTTGCTCAGGTAACAAGGCAGTAACTTACTCTCCATGACAGTCTTTTGAGACAAAAGTCCGAGTCCCAGGGTCATCCCCCACCTTCTCCAGCAGTAGTTTCAAGCAGCACGTTTGCTGGCTGGGTTGGGACTGTCCCTGGGGCCCATGGGAGAAGGAAAGGACCATGCCAGGCACCTTCTCCTCCCTTCCCAGCCGGGTGCAGGTGGCAGAGCAGCCCTGGGGACGAGCCTACCGGTGGCTGCTCTGGTAGGCGTAGGAGATGGGCTGGCGTGTCCCGGGCCTGACCGTGAAGGTGTTGGTGGGTCCGCCGTACTGGGGGCTGCCGTGGGCAGGTCTGCAGGGAAAACAGAGGGAAAGTCACTGAAAGCCAAAGAAACCCTTTGGTTTTAGTCAGGATTGCGATTATGTATTTTATTCTTGTTCTAGGGGAGCAGGGTGATTTTTGTGGCTTTGTGTCTCCACTCAGTGATGTGGGGAGGAGGGGGAGGTGGGCACCCACTGGGACCATCTGGGAGCAAGGTCACAGCTGGGACTAGAGAGGAGTCATGGACAGTCATGCGGTGGGGGGAGGAGATCCCAGCTGGCAGCGAGCGCACGACCCAAGGGGCAACGACTTCTCTGGAGCCTCAGTGCAGCTCTGGGGCCAAATCCAAGGGACACCCAGGACAGGGAAGGCTCAGCTGAGGGGGACACACGTACCTGCTGGCTGCCAGCACTCCGGCGGGCGAGAAATCCCCGTTCTGCCCCTTGTACTTGGCGTCGGCCCCGGCGCTCCCGTACACCGCGGCTTTCCCGGCAGCATCCACGGACGGCCGCCTGCCCTGCACCCCCGAGGGGCCGTTCCTGAGGGCAGGGCCCAGGCGGCGGGACCCCTCCCCACCCACGGCGCTGAACCCCCCGGGGCCGTAGGAGGAGAGGGTGCCCGTGGCCCGGGGGGCTGCGGCCGCCCGGGGGTAGGAGCTGTCAGGCTCAGACACGTACAGGCGCTTCTTGATCAGCGGGCGGGGGTTTGGGCCGCTGCTGGAGTAGCCGCTGGAGCTGCTGTAATCCGGGAACTGGGGCGTCAAGTCGCCGTTCCTCCGGCTCTTCTCTGAGGGCAGCGGGGCTGGCGCCTCGTGGTTGCCCCCGTAGCGGCCCCCGTAGCCAGGCCACCTGAAGTACCGCGGCTCCTCCGCGCCCCGGCTGCAGTCGGGGAAGCTGGGGCACTTGCGGTTCTCCTCCCGGCTCGGGAGGGGACCCTCGTCCGCCTCGTTGCTGAATTCGGGGGGCGGGGGGATAATCCCGTAGTCCAGCGCCGTCTCCCCGTTCTCCTCCTCCCTGGGCACGGCGTGGCGGGATGGGATGGGCTGGTTTGGCTGCCCGGAGTCCAGGAGGCCCCGGAGCAGGCTGGAGGCAGCGGCTCGTCGGTGCCCGGGCAGGCCGGGGGGTTGTGCCTCACCCACCGCCCGCACATCCCGGCCCTGGTCCGAGGAGCTGGAGAAGGAGGGAGGTTTGCTCCATCCAGGCCCTGCTGAACCTGCTGCAGACGGCCGGGGCACCACGGTGAAGGAGTAGGGCTTGGACTCGTGGCGGAAGAAGCTGGTGGAGGTGGTGTCCGACGAGGCACTGCTGAGTTTCAGGGGTGGCTTCGCCCGCAGCGCAGACCCCACGTCCCCGCCCTGGCGGCCCCGCTGGGCGCGCTGCCGGGCCGCCAGGAGCAGGGCCATGGGGGACCCCCGCTCCACCCGCTCCCCCGTCACCGGGTGGATCAGCACCTCCTCCTGCCCCGCTCCAGAGGCGCCCGGGGGGCTCCTGGCTGAGCTCCCAGGGTCGGGTGGTTCAGCTGAGCCTGGGGCACAGGGAGGCTCGGCTGAGCTGGCCCCAGCCCGGTGCACTTTGTACTGGAACACGGCCGTGCTGGGCTGTGGTGCCGAGCTCTCTGCGGGGGAGACGGGGGGCGAGGCGGAGGTGGGAGCAGGGGGCTCCTTTGCTGGTCCCTGAGGTGGGTCTGGGGGGCTCAGGCTGCTGTTGAGGGACCCAGGAGCAGGGGTCAAGTCCTCTGTGGCCTTGCCAGTGGTAGGAGTGGGATGGTCCTCGTGATCTGTCTCATCCTTCTCCACAGCAGCCACTGGTGCTGGAAGCGGGCTCGGGACCGGCTTTGGCAGCAGCGAGTCACCTGCTTCAGGGGGGCCCTTCCTCAGGTCGGGGGGGCTCTTCCTCACATGTGGGGTGCTGATGCCATTCTCAGTGCCCTGCTTCTGGCCCCCGAGCCCTGGGGCAGGTTTCCCCTCTTTCTTCAGGGACAGCACAGCCTCCAGCTCGTTCCTGATGGTCATCACGCTGCGGGTGTGCGTGGCAGGGTCGCTCTCCGGAGCGGTGACCATTGCGCTGGGAGAGCCCCCGTTGGTGCTGGGGGGGCTGCTGGGCACCTCTTTCTTCTCGCTGTCCCCTCCCTTAGGTAACCCCATGTCCTTCCCAGCAGGTTGGGGCTCACTGACAGCGGGCTCCCGGCTGCCAGCACGGCTGGTCCTGCTGTCGGTGGGCTGGGAAGCAGCCGGCTTCTCCACGGGCCTCTCCTCCCTGCGCGGGGAGCGCAGCAGGGCCGACAGCTCATGCCGCAGCTGGTTCAGGTTGTTGGCGTCCTTCCAGTCATCCTCACAGGTCGGGTAGTCCGGAGGGGGCAGATCCAGGTCGTTGGCAGTGAGAGGCTCAGGTTTTGGAGGGGAGTCTCTCCCGGCTGTTTTCAGCGGGGGAATCTTCTCCACCTCGGGCAGAGGGGACCGGCGGCCGGCGGGACTCGCCCCTTGGCTGAGCCCTGGGCCCGGCTTGGGGCTCAGGGGTGGGGGTGTCAGCACAGCTGGGGGTGTCAGCACAGCTGGCTTCGTGGCAGGTTTCCTTTGCTCAGCTTCTCCCCCTCCACGAGCCTTGGCCGCGGGTCTGATGGTGAAGCAGGGCGGGAGGGGGGGCCGGGAGTGCGGCTGCCTTGGGAAGGGCTCCTGCCGGACCGGCTGGTTCTCCTGCACGGGGATGGAGGAGGAGCGGGCCGGGGCTGGCGGGGGCACCTTGAAGGACCTGGGGAACGTGAGGTGGGGCTCGGGGCAGTGCTTGGGCTGCAGGCTCTCCTTGGGGCTGGGGGCAGCGGGCACCCCGGGCTCAGCAGGGCGGACAGGCCCCTCAGCATCCGCCTGCCTCGTGTTCAGCACCGTCTCGGATTTCCACTTGGAGATGCCGGAGGTGAAGGGCGCCGGGTCCGGGACGAGCAGCGAGGCACCCGGTGGGGCTGGGGGGATGAAGTCTGGAGGAGCTGGTGTGCCGGGGGAGGACAGGGCAGAGGCTGGAGGTGGCGGAGCTGCCATGGTAGGAGGGGGTGGCACCAGCTCGGGTGGCGGAGGCGGCGGTGGCGGCAGCACTTCGGGGGGTGGAGGGACCGGCGAGGCCGGAGGGGGTGGCACGGGCGCAGGTGCTGTTGGAGGGGGCGGTGGGGGTACTGATGGTGGTGGGGGGATGTCTTCATCCAGGTCATCCCCCTCCAGAGCCTGTGGGCGCAGGTCCCCCACGGAGCTGTACATCCGGTAGTTGCCATTGATCCGGGAGCCAGAGCCTGGAAAAAGGAGTGAGAGCACCACGGTGTGAGCACCTTCTCCACCAGCACTGCCATGGCCAGTGGTCCCCCCAGAGAGCCAGCCTCTTGCTCAGCTTGTTTAAAGTCACTATGCCTCACCCCTTGGAAATTAATTCATTTCCAATGGCTTCAAAAAATAATTAATAGTAGGCTCTATTTTGGCATGGAACTCTCAGGAGCAGACTGTCTGCTCCAGAGCTCCATCCACACACACTTCCTGCCCCGAGGGCACGGCCCTGCTGAGCACTTTGTGCTGGCCAGGACTCTGCAGAGAAGATCCCTTACCAAGAGTTGCTTTTTCCTCAAAGTCTTCTGGCACTGAGGGTGTTGGCACAGCCACCCCATGGGATTCTTGGGCATTCTGCAAGAGTTAAAAAAACAGAGCTGTTAGTTTTACGCCCAGGGTATCAGAGAGAAGGGCTGACAAGCAGCTGGTTATTTGTCCACGCAAACAGGGGCCTGACAGATCTTCCCAAGACACGGAGGTCCCTGTGGAAGCTGCTGTTGACAGGTGAGTCAAGTGATGAAGGCTGCACGAGCCGTGGCCACAGTTCCCTGTGGTCAGGTGCAGAGGGGCTGGAGAGGAGCATGGCTATTTACATCCCACCTCAGAGCTCCCCAGCCCACCAGCAGCAGCACTGGCCTCTCACCATCCCTGCACCAAGCACATTGAACAGCTCCCCTGGGTTCTGTGGGTCTTGCTCTCCAGCAAGCACTGCCAGCTCACACCACAGACACACACTCACCACGCTGGAGTCACAGACAGACCTCCAGCTTTTTGGGAGACCGGCACCAGCATATCTGAACACCCCGGGGAAAACTGCTACTTGTGTGGTTTGTGCTCCACTCTCAATTACTCCCTTCACATTCAGGCTGAAAACTCAGCAGTGCCTTTAGCTGGCACAGGACCGTGCAATTCAGCAGCCCACACATCCGTGGGGATGCCTCCAGTGAGGGCACTTTGGGTAATTACAGCCACCCAGCGTGAGAGACCCACGGCAGGCTGACTCACCCCGAGAGCTGATCAGGGCTCCACCTCACACACCTGCCAGGAGCAGAAAGCCTCTCCTTCCCCCAGTGACTCACTGCTGGGATTGCTCTGAAGGGCCTGCAGTGGCTCAGGAACGTCCACTAATGCTCCCATGTGCAAACACAAACTGGTGCTGGGTCAGGCACAGACACAAGTGAGGCAGTGGCTGGACTGTCACATACCAGCACTGTGAGACACCGAGTCCTGAGGACAATTTTGGGTGCTACAAAGATATAAAACTATTAGAGTGTCCAAAGCAGGGATATGAAAATGGTGCAGGGTCTGGAGGGGCCATGTGAGGAGCAGCTGAGGGCACTTGGTCTGTTCAGCTGAAGAAGAAGAGACTGAGGGGAGACTCATTGGAGGTTGCAGCTCCTCATGAGGGGCAGCTCCCATCTCTGCTCTCTGTGAACAGTGGCAGGACCCAAGGGAACAGCTGGATCTGTGTCAGGGCAGGGTCAGGTCGGATATCAGGGAAAGGTTCTTCTCCCAGAGGGTGGTTGGCACTGAACAGACTCCCCAGGGCAGTGGGCACAGCCCCAAGGCTGCCAGAGCTCCAGGAGTGTTTGGACAACGCTCTCAGGGACAGGGTGGGATTTTGGGGTGTCCTGTGCAGGGCCAGGAGCTGGACTCAGCGATCCCTGTGGGTCCCCTCCAGCTCAGGATATTCTCTGATTCCATGCAATGACACTCTGTCAGCAGCACAAACTCGCAGACACCACGGGCAGTGGTTGGGGACATCCTGTCCCATTCCCAGGCTCCAGGTCCACCCTGTTGCACTCCTGCTCCCCTCAGGCAGCTGTTTGCACTGTTAACAGCCCTTACAAAGGAAACATTATCCTGCCATCAGCCTGCCCCTCTCCCTGAGTGGTTTCCTGCATACAAAAGCCTGGATAATGATTGAGCCCCTGCCCTTTGCCTTTCACTGCCACTATCACCATTTTTACATCAGGCTGCTACGGGATTCCAAAGTCTCCTTGAGCAAAGGTCAAGTTGGGTTTATTCATCCAGCCCCTTCCAGGCTCAGACAGCACGTTAAGGTTTCACACAGCCCTGGCCTGGGGAGCTCAGGAGATGCCTGATGGGCAGAGCTGATTTAACAGCAGCAGCCTGGGCTCCTGCAGAAGAGCCCTGGAATGCTCCAGCTTTGGACAAAACAATAAGAAAATACACATATTTCTCTTGCTACATCCATCACCCTGCAGATGACCAAGGATCCTCTATAACCACACGGGAATGAGCCAGTTACTGGTGAGCCAGGAGTGAGTGAGTGGGAATTCACATTCCTGGGATTGCAGGATGGATCAGAGAATATTTTGCTGATGGAGAAGCCAAGGTCTGCTAAGGTATCAGGACAGATCTGTTAGTGGCAAAACACCAGGCTAGGTGGGCCTTGTATCTTTAATATCTAGCTATATATCTATCTTTATATATATAGAGAGAGATCTCCTTTTATATATACTTATATATTTATATATATCTTTTTATATATATATGTAAAATCTGAGACCTCTTTACTGGTCCTAAAGATACAGGACAAGGTAGAAGAAAGATCCTTAACTTCAACTGAAAGTCAGAGGGAAGGTCAAGGCCAACAGAGGTATTTCAAGAGCCAATAATGACACTGTCCAGAGTAATGAGATATCAAAAGAAAAAAACCCCAGCAGCTCCCATTTGCTATGGAAATCCACTGCTGCCAGAGCACACCGAGGATACCTGCTCATTTACAGGGCAACAAAGATGTCTGAGCACTGAATTCAAAGCAGAATATGCATCACCTGTTTGGAGAGGAGTGGAAGGGGACTGACAGTCGGAAGAGAGCTATGCAAAGCTGGAGGAAACAGTCTGCACTTCATAAATGAAGTGGTAATTTTGGACGTGTCATTTCGAACTGGGCAAGCCTGTTTCACACCAAAAACTTCTGTTGCAGTCGCTAACGCTCAGCATCCCTCTGAAAAAACCACCCATCCCCACGTCATGAGCTGGCTCCTGAAATGGAAAGCATCCCCAGCACGCTGCCAGTCTCCAGAGATGGCTGGGAAGATTGTTCCCTGCGTTTGCTTGTTCGGGGTGTGACCAGCCCTGCAAACCTCCAGCTGATTCAGAGCAGGCTCAGGGTGCTGTGCCAGGAACCTGCATTTCCAGTTCGTGGTACCCGGATCAGATTCGTGCACGCCGAGGATCCCGTGGGGGGGAAGCTTTCACTGGAACCACCAGGAATCACTTTTCATCCTTGGAACAAAGTCAGATGTCCCCAGTCATGAGAAATAAAATAAGTTTTTTTAATGCGTATCGTGAAGTTGTAAGGTGTCCAAGTTCCAAACTGGACTGGGTACCAGGGTCTTTTTTGGCCATGATAAGGGAAATATAAAGTTCCTAAAAATTAAAATCTTTCTGGGCCACTTGGCAAATTCTGAACATAGGGGTTTCTTTTTCTCTCTGGGCTAAGAACAAAGGAAATCCATCATTTTTCAAAGAGGATGCCTCACAGCCAATTGGAAGGAAGGAAAAGCCTCTTTTCAGAGAAAAAGAAATCTTTTTAGGCAAAAATGAATATATTAAACTTATCTGAAAAAGGGTAGGATTTTGTAAAACTATAAAATGCATGAGATTTAAACCCAAGGGGTCTTTCTCCCCGGAAACTTGGTGAGAGGAAGACCCAGTGCGCTGAATAAATTCTTCCTTGTTGATACAGTTTCTTTGTTCCATGAGTTTATGCCATCTTTCTAAATTTAAAAGAGAATTTTTTTCCCACACAGTGAAGGGAGCCTGCCTGTCCTCGTGGTCCCTGCTCTCTCAGGACTCTTCCCACCCATTAAATGAACAAGGTTTGAGGTTACCTGTTAAAAAGACCACCCCAAAATAACAACTGCTGAGCATCCTGGGGTCTCAGGGAGGTCGATGATTCCTCCAGAAATGAACTCCTTGTTTCTGAGCCAGGGAAGTTTGGTGGTTGGCTGGAGGAATTTATTCCCCCAGGATGCCAAAGCCCTGCCTGCACTTGCAGTGCTGGGGAAGCCAAGGGGCTCAGAGGGACGTGGTGGGACCCCCCTCCTCCTGCAATCCCTGGCTGGGACAGCCAAAGGTGATCCACAGGGAAGGAAAGTGCTCCACGTGGGAAGAGCTGCCAGGTGCAGAGGCACAGGGAGCTGCAGGGCAGGGTGTGTTCATCCTCCTGACTCACTGAGCTGCTCCTCAGAGGGGGGGTGGGAGGAAAGGGTTAAGGCAGGAGCTGCAGAACAGCCCAGTGCAGGTATGGACGTGGCAGCAGAAGCGTCTGTGCCAGATCAAATCATAATCAAACCTCGTCAAAGTAGTGCAAACACCACCCAGCACAGGCTGGTCCTTAAAAATATGGCTTGTTCCTGCTAATTTCTTCAGTAAAACCTGTCACTGTCAGAAGAGAAGCTCAGGTTTGTGAGGGACCCTCACAAGGGCAAAAGAGCCCCAGGGTTGGCTGTGCCCCTGTGGGCACTGCGGGTTGGGTGACAACCCTCAGGATTTATCCCAGAGGCATTCCAGTTGTTAATTCCTCTACCACACACACTTCCACTAGCAAAGCATTTGAAAGCTTTAAAAAAAATGCAAAAGGCCAGCTGCACCTTAAAACCCTGCTGATATAGTCACACCTCCAAACCTGTGCTGCTGGAGAGGAGTTTTTCAGGCACAGTCCTATGGTTACTTGTCCTGGATCCCAGATGAGGTTTTTCACCTGCTGGGAATCTTTTGCAAGGCATCACAGAGGGAACAACACCTTTGTAACCCCATAACTTCCCAATTATGCTTTCAAATAGATAAATAAACTCCCCTCCTGCTTTGTCCTTCAGATAACACCAGCACGACCCCATGAACACCTCATTGTATCACCAGACCAGCCCATTTTCTCCTGAAGGTGATGGCTGCTCTGAAGGACAGGGGTGCACAGGGAAAACCACCCCTTGCTCTTGGAGAGGATCTCCTCATCAAGACCAAAAGCTTTGAAGTGTTATACTGTCTCCACTGACAGGGTATCAATTCAGACTCAGCTCCTAACACCTCCAGAATCTCTCTGAGCAACCTGGTCTAGCGATTTTAGGTTCCTTCCAGCCCAAACCATTCCATGATTCTACGAATCCTGCTCCTCACTGTGCTCTTCAGGGAATAAGACCCCTGGAAAGGTGTGGTGCATGGGGGAGTAGAGCTTGCTCAGCACACACAGCAGTGGAACCTCAAAGCCAGCCACAAGCAAGTGTGGTATCTGGATTCAAAGCCACCCCCAGGCCCTCTGGTCTGGCTGTGTTGGCCCCTTGCTGCTCCAGTCCCTGCATCCAGCTGCTGCTGGAGCACTGGGAGCTCTTCAGGGAATGGGTTTGTTCATACAGAGATTGAAAAAAATCACCCCCTGCACACCTGCAGCATCATCTCCTTGTTCCTCTGCTGCAACAGGACACAGCTCTGCTATTGCTGTCTCCAGCAAGATGCCTGATTCCAGGAGAGATACTGCCAGCAGTGGTTGGATAAACTGCAGTGCAAGCCTGATTTATCATCTACATGCTCAGCAATTTTTTTTTTTAATTGAAAATGCAAGTCTGATGATGCTCACGCCTCTCCCCCGAGTACCTTCCCTGCGTCCAACACGAGCCCTGAACTCACATCACCTCTTAATCCCTCCTTCTCCAGTGTTATTACAGAGTGGTTTTGCTTTTCATTTATTCTCTCCCCTGGGGTAGAGGATGAGAGCAGCAGCCAGCCCAGCTGGTTCTGGGCCCCAGTTCCACCACGGTGTTGCAATGGATCCCAGCAGTGAGCCGGGTACTCACCAGGGGTAGGAAAGTCAGCAGCGGCCGGACCCTGGGACGAGGTTTAAGTGTTGCTGTGCCAGAGTCTGTCACTGTCCCAAAGCGATTGTCACCGTAATACACCTCGATCACATCACCTGAGGGGAAGAGAGGACTGTTAGCAGCCAGCCCTGGGATTGGGAAACAGGGAAAAAAAAGCTGGACAGCACCGGATTTTAAAAAGCGCTGTGGAGAATTTGCTGCATCAGCTCCCAGGAATGTGCAGAACCCACCAGATTCTGAGCAGAGTCTGGGTTTTTTTCAGGGGGGTGAGTTGAAGACAGAGGGATAAAGGTCCCAGGTGTGCAGGACAGGCCCTGACAACCCTGTCACACACCTGCATGGCACAAAGAGCCCTCCCAGAGCTCCGGATGACGGAATTGAGTGAGCCCAGGTGCCAAAATCGATTCTGAAGGGCTGATTCCAACTAGCAGATAACTTAAATCTACCCCGGGGGGGGTTAAAAGTTAGCACAAGCACTCAACTCACTCCCCTCCCAGATTACATTTAGGGCAGGAAAATGCTTCAGGAGCAACTGGATCATCCCTTTGCAGTGCTGGGAGGATCCAACCCCCAGGAGAGCAGGGCAGGTGTGCACAGAGGTGACACAAACCAGCTCAGAAGCAGGATGCAACCCTAGCTGATCCGTCAGCAGCTGGAATTGAGGAGGGAGGCAGAGTAGAAGGAGGCAGGAGAGCTGAACAGAAAGAGGGAGAGCTCCTGTCCTTCCTCACTCTGCTCTGTGTAGAGTGTTACAAGCAGGAGAAGCCATCGGCTGCTCCTGGTTCCCAGCCCTGTGCTTTCACCTTGAACCACACCTTTCTGGGCCTGGTTTATTTCTGACAGTGAATAAAGCTCATAAAATTAATTTAATTACGTCCTTTGTGTCTGATTAACAGCATGAATTAACAGGCAGAAATACTGAAGCATGTAAACCCCACCTTGGCTGGAAGGAGATACACAAATAACTCGTAGCCAAGGAGACAGACATTAAAGAAAATATGAGGGTTTGTGAAAGGAGGGGGAAAGGAACAAAATGGCTGTGATTGGAGAGAAAACTCTGCAGGAAGGTTCCCTCCCAGCAGAGTCTGATAGTGAAGAAGGAAGAAGGGAGGTGTAGGAGAAGGAAAAAACAACCAACCTCCCCCTCCACCCCAAAAGGCAGACACCAACAAGTAAACAGCTTTCTTTTTTTTGCCCACCTCAAAAGTCTGGGAGCAGAGTCCTCAAAGCTGCTCCCCCTGCTGAAGTGTGAGGCACAGAAACAGTTTCTGTCAAGTGACTGGGGTCCCCACCCCACCCCAGGCTGCCATGGCACACAGCTGAGCTGGTCACCAAGGCTCTGCCCTCCTGGGACGGGCAGACATCAGGAGGAAGCTCCCAAGGGAACACCTTTACACCAAGTCTAGTGGAAAACAAGAGGAGGGCAAACGCTTCTGTGGGCATCCCATGGAAAGGAAAGCACTTGCATGAACACCTGGAATGAAGAACCTGACCACACCAGGGGCTGGGCATGAGCAAGCACAGCCTCTGCTGAACTTACAGGTTTGGAGGCAGATGAATTCCACACAGCCTTGGAACATGCCACTGAGTCCAGCAAGCACGTAAGCTTTTCCTTTCTCCCACCCACTACACCACAGGTTGGGCTGGGATACACCCAGGAGTGGCCATTGTGCTACCACTGTCCTCACAGGCAGTCACAACTTCCTCTCCCTTATCCCCAACTTCTCCCACTACAAGGGATTCTTTACAACAGCTTTCAAACTACTAATCAGCCTGCACTTCAGTCAGTGTGGTTCTCCCAAGGGTTTAACACTTCCTTGCCTGGGAGGGGCCCGAGCACACGGGAGGAGCTGCTGGAGCCCCAAGCAGGGCAGAGAACCCAGCAATGAACCTGGAAGTGTCCAAGACCAGGTTGGACAGAGCTTGGAGCAACCTGGGATAGTGGAAGGTGTCCCTGCCCATGGCAAGAGGGTGGAACAAGATGATCTTTAAGGTCCCTTCAACCCAAACCACTCTGTGATGATTAATTTTATGGGTGACCCCACATTCAGTGAGTAAGTAGCAAGAATTAAGGCCAATGCACTACAAGAGTTTGGACTCAGACAGCTTTGTGGAGCAGTGATAGAACAGTTCTGAGACTTGAAACGATGGGAGTTTTATATTAAACAAGTCACTGGGTAAACTCAGTGAGAAACTGGATTAAAGATCACAAGGACTTTGATCCTAGATTACTAAGCATCTCTAACCTGAATGCTTTTAATTAAAGTAAAATGAAGTGCTTGTAGTTGTGTTTTCTTTGCTAGATAAACAGGACTTGCCTGCTGAGAGCCTGTCACCAGTAAGACCTGTGCTCTGCCAGCCTCGTTTCCTGGAAGGAGGGATCAGGAAAGGCAGCCTGGGAGGCTGTTGGAAGCGGCTGCCCTCAAATGACTGGCCCTGCTCCGGCCACTTTTTGACATTCAGCCTGTCCTGGAGACATTTGTGTCCGCTCAGCCACGGGAAATTCAATAAACAATTTGCAAAGCATGTAATGGAACCTCTTCCTCCTCGGGGGTTGCATCACCTGGAGTAGGTGCAGCAGGTTTGGCACCAGGTTTGGCACCGGGGTATCTGCAGCTCCCAGCGAGGAGGAGGAGGACGAGGAGGCGGCATCAGTCACTATATTCAGGAATCTCTGAGTCAGGGACATGCAAACCTACACCCATTCCACATTGCTCAACTTGTGTTTACTTTGTATGAGAAACTAAGGTGGGGATTAGCAGGAGCAGTGGACTCCTCTTGGCAGCAGCAGCAGCGGTGGTGGCGTGAAGCTATGCAGGAAATATTCCAGAAACAGGGCCAGGGATGGGGCTTCCCCGGGTAGGACTGTGGAGCTGTGGATACTCAGGTGCAATAAAACCTGCCCCTTGGACTGAGCTGTGAGCTCACCATTCCTCACACCACTCCAAACGGGGTCACCCAGCCTTGGGGTGCCACACCACCCTCCACAAACTAAACTAAGGACAGAAGCACCAAGAGGATGCTCGGGATTGATTCAATAGCTCCTCTTTAGGCTCAGATTTCAGCACTCCCGGCTTTTTCAGCACTCCCGGCTTTTCCTTTGCAATCCGACCCACACCTGAACGGAATGCTTTTGTACTGCAGAACTGCAGCCACGGAAATCAGGCTTGTAATAAGCAGACACAGCAACTTTCTTTCTTTTTTTTTTTTTTTTTTTTAATCCAAACCACATCAGAGAGAAGCCTGAATCCTCCTCAGATTTACGACAGTTAGAAATCAGCAATTTTCCTTCTGCGTTGCAGAGCTGCACGAAACTCCCTGTCACATTTTCATTTTATCTTGGTTTCAGCAGCTTGGCCTTTGGGGTGTAACCACCTTGCAGTTGCTTTCACAGACAATACTTCACCCTGCACAGCTCAGCAGGCAGCGCTTCCACTTTTTTTTAATCTTGGAAGACTTTGTTGGGCTCTTACAGCCACCAAACTCCATCCACAAACTGCTATCTTCTATCTACCTGGCTCCATTACTATTAATTTGGCTCCCTCCTCCATGAGCCTCCAGGGCACCGTATTGCAATTAAAACCACAAAGAAACACAAATAAATCCCGAGGAATATGCAACCCTCAGCTCCCCCCAGCGCTGCGAGAAAACAGGTTTATGAGTAAATAACTAAAAGCTGGGGAGGCGCGGATCAAACATGGCGTGGGAAAGAGCGACGGGGAAGCAAACAAATAGATTCACAACGACTTTGCAGCCTGTTTTAGTCGGGTTTAACCTCCCGGAGAGCGGCGAGCCCGCCGAGGCGGACCCTCCTGGTTTGCGCATCCCGGGCCCGCCGAGCGCGTCGCGGAGCTTCCCAAGGGGCGGTGGATGAGCCGCCGCCGCTCCCTGTCCCCATCCCACCCTTTTCCCACCCTTTTCCCGGTCCGCACCACCCGTGGCCGCGCACCCCCGAGCCCCGGGGCGGGCGGGTTTGGGGACACTGACCGGTACCACCCGCGCTGTCCGAGGTCACCTCCTGCGTGAAGATCCAGGGCGGGTTGGTGGCGAACAGGGACGTGGCGGTGGGGCTGGAGTGGCGCTTCCCAAAGAGGCGGCTGAAGGTGCCCTGCACCGAGTGGTGATGGTGCTTCTTCATCCTGGCGGAGCCGGGCGCTCCCAGCCGGGCATCCCCACGCCGAGCCGGGACGGGAGCGGGGCCACAGCGGCAGCGGGAGGGGCGGAGATGGTCCCACCCACGGACCCGCCCTCGCCAGGTGCCCCTGGAGTGTTTTCCAATCACTCACGCGCCGAGCGGTTGGGTTTGAGAGTTGTGGAATAACCTGAGTTGGAAGGGGACGCACAAGGATCATCCAAGTCCAGCTCCTGTGTCTGCACGGGACGGCCCCAAAATCCCACCGTGTGCCCGAGAGCCGTATTCCTGGGGACACATCCTGTGGGAAACCAGACATTTAATACCGTAGGAAAAGGACCTTGGCTGTAGTAAATGCTCATTACCCATGTGTTGGCATCAGGCAGCAGGGAAAGGAATAACAGAACCATAAAATATCCTGAGCTGGAAGGGGGACACAAGGATCATCCAGTCCAGCTCCTGGCCCTGCTCAGGACACCCCAAAATCCCACCCTGTCCCTGAGAGCGTTGTCCAAACACTCCTGGAGCTCTGGCAGCCTTGGTGCTGTGCCCACTGCCCTGGGGAGCCTGTTCAGTGCCCAACCAGCCTCTGGGGGAAGAACCTTTTCCTGAGATCCAACCTAACCCTGCCCTGACACAGCTCCAGTTGTTCCCTCAGTCCTAACTCTGGAGGGGTTTGACCTTCCTCTCACTCTCTCCTGTTTCTCTGCCTATTCACCTGCAGCTGAGACCTGTCCCATGGGCTGGGATCTCCCCCCAGGCCTTTCCACACCCCCCAAGTGCAGTGCACTGGACCTGGAGATCTGCAGGTGTCAGAAATAAATGGAATTATCATCAGAGTCAGGGAAAGCTGCCAGGTAATCCTTTCCCTCTGCCCTGGGTATGACAGTGAGCAAATTAATGCTGAGTTTTTAGGGAGCTGAGTGTTTAGGAAGCATTCCAGAGCCCCTCTGCTCATCCCTCCTGGATTCTGTGGGACCGTGCAGCCCCAGGAACACCCCGAGTGACCCGAGTGCTCCTTGGGGTTGGGTGGTTTTGATGCAAAAGCTTCAAGGCAATGGGACTTGACCCCCAAATCATTTCTTGTTTCAGGTACAAAAGCAAATTTCTAGCATTGCTCAAGATTTTTGGAGTCAGGCAAGCAAAAATCAAGAGTTAATGAGTAACATTGGCTATTAACAAATGCAGGGGATTCTGGAGAACTTTAAACCCAAAATAGCTGTGGAAACATTAACTTTGAAATACAGCTCCCAGCTTCAGGCTCAGGTCATCTTGTATCTATTTCTATTTCCACCACATTTTAGAGTCAAAATGATATAGATTTCTTTTTTTTGGTGATAAATATAATTTATTTAATCACTTTAGAATTACACTTTTCTTGTGAAAAGCATCTTTTTTTTTTTTGCTTTAAAGTACAAATTAGGGCAACATATTAAATCCCCCATGAACAGCGAAAAATCAGCACTGTCGTGATATTCTAAAAGGAAAATCCTGGCACAAAAGGAAAATCCTGGCACAAAAGGAAAATCATGGCACAAGTTGCCAGGCAGCACTTAAATAAAGTGAATTAACGTGAATGGCAAATGGAGAAGGAAAAGGAGAGTTTAAATGTTAGAATTCAACACTGTGGTTGTGGTATAGGGGCTGTAATAATTTAGGGGATTTTCCAGGGGATTTTAACCTGGGCTGCAGATGTGCAGCTCCATCGAGGGGGTCACACAGATCTTCCTGGCTGGGAGGGGTCAGCCTGCTCCAGGCTCCCACTGCTGCTCCCAAAATCCACTGGAGGAGCAGCAGATGACGCCGAAGGGGTGGCTTTGTGCCGAGCAAGAGCCCTGCAATTAGTGGGACTGGCACCCTTTGTGACAGTTATCTTAACTGCTCTCCGTGTGAGACAGGGCAGGGAAACACTCCTCAAACACCTGCCCCAGCTCCCTGCCCTGGGACACACCACAGGGACCTGTTTTAGCCAGGATGGCAGGAAAAGGGATAGTCCTGCCTGCAGGGAAGAGGGGTGATAGGATGGAAACTGGGAAACAGCAGAGCTGGAACCAGCTCCTTGAGGGAACCGATCCTGCTGAGCTCCAGATAGAGTCACAGAATCAATTAGGTTGGAAAAGACCTCTGAGGTCGTTGAATCCAACCTCTGGCATTTTCAGAAAATTCACTGGCACGTCCCAAAAGCAGAAATCAGGTGAAATGAAGGACCCACTCACTGCTGGAAAGACAAAGGACGTGATAGCTCTGCAAGGTAGGCAAGGCATGAGTGCTCACTGATATCCACAGTCCTCAACTGAACAAATCAAACAGGAAATACAGAGACACAGTCATGGAAAAGGGGAAGGAGAAGAGGAACTGTTTTAAGAAGCGAAGCCAATAAAATTCCGTGGAATGAAAAAGCCTCGGCTCGTGCACAAAGGTGTCCCACAAAATCCCATTAGAGCAAAGAGACTTCAAAGTGTCTGCAGGGCTGCAGAGGTGCTCTGTGGGAGCAGGAAGGTGTGATTCAGCTCCCTGACACTGCTCCGAGGTGTTCCTGAGCCCCAGGGGTGGGGGGATGCCAGAGCCCTGCCCGTGCCACCCCACCAACGATGCCTGTGCCTCACCCTGGGTGGTGAGCGTAGGAAAAAATCACCCTCACAACATGAAGGGATGTGTGTTTTGAGGTGAATTTATTATCCCAGGTAACACCAGCTGCTCAACAATTCTGCCAGGGTTCGTGCGCACACTCCCATTTATTTGTTCCAGATGAAAGGTGTTTGTTCTTTGCCTTCCACCTCCCAGAAGAGCACAGACCTCCCCTCAGAAGTCCAGAAAAGAGCCCGGGACCAGCACCAGGGCGTGCTGGGTGTGCTGCTGGGCACGGGGACTTCTGTGAAGTGCAGGCTCCAGAGACATGGGAAAGTTGCCCAGTTTGGTTGTGTTTTTAAGGAAGGACAACTGCCACTCAGTGACTGAGGCCACACAGCTGAAGGGACTGGTGGGCTGGGCTGGGCACGAAGCTCGGGAAAGCACTTGGAAGATGTCCAGCAGATTTTATAGCAGAGAAATGGCCATGTGAGCACTGCTCTGATGTAACACGTCGTGGTGTGAGGCTGCCTTTGATCCTAACACGGGTAAACACCCCAGAACAATCTGCTTCTGCATCAAGGGTGAGGAGCTGCAGATGTGGATCGTTCCCTGCCGCACTCGCAGGTGGGCGAAGGGATTGTGCAGCGAGTGCGGCTCCAGAGGGACCTGGAGGAGGGAGAGAGGGAGGGAGAGCAGGAGGGATGGGAAGAGAAACTCCCATGTGTAGCTGCAGAGCAGCACCTGTGGAAAGAGAACCGACTTCTGTCAATGGGGGCAGGGGGTCCCTGCTGCCAGGGCCCCGTTTCAGTGAGGGTGGCAGGGCCAGCAGGGCACCCTGGGTGGTTTCCACTGGGTGTAAATCCTAATCCCCATGGTTGAGCCCCTCCTCTGCACCCTCTACCTGAGCATCCCTGTGACATCCACCATCGTGGTGACACCCCCGTGGGCACAGTGGTCCCCGTGGTCACAATGGCCCCTGTGGTCACAATGGCCCTGACAGCCCTGACAACCAGCACTGCCCACCCTGCCAGTGCTGCCTCCTGCCTCCACCCCCAGACAGCCCCACGTTCCGGGGTCCCCACCGGGGAGAGAACCTCACAGGTGGGTGCTCCAGGCTCAGAGCTGGGCAGGAGAGACACCCTCTCACCATCCTGAGGGCAGGGGTCTGGGAGGTCCTTGCCCTGAGGGCGACCAGGGTGAAAAGGTCCCGCTCATGTCAGTGTGGTGCCTCATCCCTTCCCCGCTGCGCAAATCCCGCTGCTGCCGTCAGACGGCTTTGCCCCCGTGGGGCTGAGAGCTCAGAGCAAACCGCACGTCACAGTCCTGGGATGGCTCCTGGGGTGGCTCCTGGGATGGCTCCAGGGGGACAGGAGAGGAACTGCAGGAGACAGGCAGCTCTGGCACCCAGGCAGGGCTCCGGCAGCCGCCCAGGGAATGTTTCGCCTGCCCAGCTGAGCCCTCCGAGCTTCCTTGGTTGCTGAACCAACCCTCTCCCTGTGAGCCCTCCTGTGGGATTTTCTTTGATAGACAACAGACAGTTTGGGAGGGATTAAATGTATGAGTGGGTGCAACAGGATTACGTGGGACTCTTCATTCAGGCACGGAGCACTGGCAGTGCCGTAAATAGCACTGTGGGCATTAAGATGGTGCTTCCCCTCCAAGGCAGTGATCACGTAAGCAGGTCCATTCACATGGGCAGGGAGGATGTTTCTGCAAAGCTTCAGGTGCCCCAGAGGATAAGCAGGAACCTCCAGGGCAGATGAGCCCCACCACAAGAGCAAAGCCCAAAGCTCAGCACTCCCAGGCTTGGTATCTGCCCGTCACTGGAAATGACTGTCAGGTCTCCATTGCCCAGCCAGGCTTGCCCATCTTGAAGGCATCTACATGACTTAGCAATTGGGTTGTCAGGGAAGCTACAGCCTCCCCTCCACACCCCAAATACACGAGATTAATGATATTAGTGCTCCCCACTGGGTGGGTGCAGCAGCAGCAGCACGGTCGTGTGTGTACTTGTCCCTTCCAAAGAGAGAATGTCCACGAGCTATCAGCGTGCATGTGTGTGAATATAATCATTGCTGAACAAATCTAAGTGTGTTCAGAGCAGGGGTACACAGACCACACTGAAATGACTGCAGTGGTACAAAATCTGCTCTTCAGGAGTTAAAATCCCATTATTTTATCCCCTGGGGAAAAAAATGGACTGAGGTTTCCTTGTGACAGCAACTGCTGAAATAACCTGTGTCCTGAGCTCCAGCCTTGCAGGTGCTGGAGAAATGAATGATCCTGGAGAAAGGAATGACAAGAAGAGGTGGTGAACCTGTAGGGGTCTGGTGATTCCCCTCTAGGACTTGAAGGAGATTCCTAAACAATCTGCAGAGCTGTGGGCATTCCCCTGCTAATAGGTTTAGGAGCCGGGGAACAGAAATAGAGCACCAAGTACGTCATGGAAACTGGGAAACCTCTTTACAAGGTTAAAAATAAGCAAGAAAGCAGAGTGTTTATTTAGAACAGCCAGGAGTAAAGTGGCTAATTGCTGAGGGAAGAGCCAGTTTCCATTCGCACAGAGGTGTCGTCAATGAAAGCAAGACAACTGAGTCATGCTTAGGTAACAGCAGAAATATCTTGGCAGTCAAGCACAGCCTTGGAGCAGCCGTGGGTCACAACTCAGCCCCATGTGTGTCTTGGGGCACACCCACACCCCCTCCTCTGCAAAGGGTTCTTGCAAATGCTTGGGTAAAACAGGCTGTTTGTGCTGTCTTTGTCCCCTGTGCTGTGCCTTCATGTTTCAGGGGGGAAAACCCACGTAAAGGTTCAGCAAGAGCCCTTCACCCAGCAGGGCGAGGCACAGGGTGGTGGGAGGTCCCTGCAGAGACCCCCGGAGCTGCTGAGCTGATGCTCAGGCTCTAAAGGGCAGTGTCAGGTTCTGCCATCACTGCTGTGTCCTGTTACCTGGTGGGTCAGGTTGTGTTGAACCATTTTCCTGCCTCGTTTGTCGTGGCTGGGGTTTGGTGAAGGTTTTCCAAGGAGTGTGTGCTGCTGTCGTTTACAGCTGTTGTAGCTGAGACTCTGATCTGGGACTGGGGCTCCGCTGGAAAACAGTGTCCCCTAAAAGTGATGAAGGGGTGAGCCAGGTCAGATTGACAGCAGGAACATCAGAAACTGTGAAGCACCTTATATTGGCCCTGCACAGTTACAAATAACCAGCTGAAATGCGAGTCAAGACAATCAAGTCCTTCCTGTCTCATCATGTGCATCCCCTCAGCATTTATTTCCAGTAATTTGCTTCTGTATTTCCAGAACATCACAGAATTTTAAATCCCTTTCTCTTTATGCAGCACCACTTCAGTTTTTTAGCTAAAGAAATGTAAATACTTGATTTCTCATCATTTACACTATAAACAAGCCCTCCTTGTTTGTTTAACTTGCTGGTTTTGGCCACCACTACACAACTCTTGCACCAGGGCCTTAAGCACTGATGAGGATGGCAAAGCATGGGGGCAATATTGCAATGCCTTTGTCTGGCTCTTTTGCTCCACAGGGAGGATGTTTCTGCAAAGCTTCAGGCGCCCCAGAGGATAAGCAGGAATCTCCAGGGCTCAGCCACAGGTGGCTGAAACACCAGAAGCCCCCGGCAAAGACCACACGAGACCCAAGGGAATGGAGAAGACCAAAGGAAAGCAGGAGCTCTCCAGCACACAGCCCAGCCCAAAAAACAAGCCCTCTGCAGCACACCAGCACCAGGACCAGCCTTTGGCTGATCGCTTCGTCCCGGTTGTTGTCCACACTGGGGGACGTCCCCTCAGCTCCTTCAACTTTGTCTTCTACCGACGGACACTCTCCAACTCATACTGCCCCTTCTACACCGTGCAGAGGCCCTACTGTGGGTACCAGTTCCGAGAGGACACCACCCATGGCAAGATACAAACGGACCTGGAACCTGCTGACGTTCGCAAATGGAGACCCTTCCGTAGCAAAAAGCTCTAGCTGGGACCAGGGAAGGCCAAGCACTAAAGCCCAAGCAATACAGCCCAAGCAATACAGCCCAAGCACTAAAGCCCAAACAATAAAGCCCAAGCAATAAAGCCCAAACAGTGCAACCAGCAACTGGTGTGACTTCAGTTTTCCATTGGTGTGTGAGTTATGACAAGCAGCGAACACGTGAGCCAAGGGGTGGGTGCTGAGGCTGTGTCACTGCTCCCCAGAGAAATATGCAGTGTGGATTTTGCTCTAAAAACCCGGTCCAACTTGTCCTGTCATTTATTGGCAGCTGCTCGTGCAGAGGCACTGGGTGTCAGCAGCACAGGGCACTGAGTGAGTGGCCACCCAGCCAAGCTCATCTGCACCAACTCGGCCCCAGCACAGGCTGCAAAACCTGGGAAGGTTTCATAGAATCACAGAATGGTTTGGGTTGGAAGGGACCTTAAAGCTCATCTAGTTCCACCCCCTGCCATGGGCAGGGACACCTTCCACTAGCCCAGGTTGCTCCAAGCCCTGTCCAACCTGGTCTTGAACACTTCCAGGAATGGGGCAGCCACAGCTTCTCTGGGCAACCTTTGCCAGGGCCTCACCACCCTCACAGGGAAGAGTTTCTTTCTAATATCTGACATGAATTTCCCCTCTTTCAGTTTGAACTCAGGACAGTCCTTGTCCTGTCACTCCAGTTCCTGATGAACAGTCCCTCTCCAGCTTCCTTGTAGCCCCTTCAGATACTGGAAGGCTGCTCTGCCTCCACACAACCTTCTCTTCCCAGCTCTCTCAGCCTGAAGCCAGCTTCTCATTTCACCAGCTCCTCTAAATTCTGCTCCTTCTTTAAAAGGACGTTTTCTTTCACTTGGCTTTCCTAGGCTCAGGCAAAGTGGTGTTCTCAGTGACTGGAAAAGCATGTCCTGTTTAACACATTCCAGAAGGCAGCAAAAGCAGTTCAGCTTTTGCACTGCCCGCTCTAGAGAAGCGGACACACCATTGTCAAGTGCTTCTTGAAACACTTGGTGAGCCTGAATCCACTTTTAATACACAACATTCCTGCTGTTGATGAACACCTCAGTCCTGCAGCCCCTCTCTGTGCTCCGGGGCTATTCCAGCCGTGGTGTTGGGTCAGAGCCCAGGTTCCTCTTGCATGATGGGGACCTGGCTGTGAGTGCAGAATTAGCACATCCAATTATCTTCCTCAGCCTAATTCCCTTTTCATAACTGTTTTACTCTTGTGTAATGTTACCTGTTTTAGCAGAGTTATTCCTACTTTGCTTCCGCGCGTACGCAATGCTGAGCTCTGAACCACGCAAGAGTTGGGCTCTTTTAGTCATCAGATAAGTCTTTAAACTTGCTAGATATAAAAATGTGTGTTATGGGATGAACTCCCCGTGGGCAGAGACCCAGCAGTCACATCCTAGTGGAGGATTTGGCTCGTGCTGTGTTCTGAGGATGTATTTTATCCCCCCGTCCTTCTCCTCTGGGTTGTTTTAACTCATATTTACACGGAGAATTTTTCGTGGTAGTTCATCACTAATGAAAACTGGAGCTGCATTTAACTCCACTGTTTTCAGCCAAGTTCTGGTAATGCACCAACCAGGACACACTCCCGGGGTAAGCAGAGTGTGGGACAATTCTGAGGAGAAAACACCCAACTCTCAGGACCAGGGAGACTGAACACTGGGACCCTGCAGCTGGGGGGGGAGAGGCACCTTCACCTTCCTAGTGCTGGCAATGAAAGCACTTAAAGCTTTACCATTTAAAGCAATTATGTTTCTATATTTGTCAGCACACCAAATTTACCCTCAGAAGCATCTCTTCTAGGAGCTCACGTGGTACTTCCCCCTCCCTGAATTTCAGGCTCTAGAGCCCTGTCTGGAATCCTCTGGCAGATCAAGCTGAAGGGAAACCAAAAAGGCAGTAACAGCACAGAGAATTCTGAGTGGTTTTCTCTCTTTCTTCTTACTCTGATTTTGGTGTAAAACTTATTTTTCATGTGACGTTCCCCCCCCCCCCCGGAATGATAAATGAAGTGGATTAAGAGATTAGATCATCAAGGAGAAAATTCCACCTCCTAATCTCCTGCTGGGCCTGTAATCTGCAAGACTTCCCCATTTTACCTCTTTTCTATTTTAACCCTGAACTCTTAATGCCTGGCAGGAGCCCGTCACCCCCCTGAGCCTCATTGGCTGGGCAGGGATTTGCTGGGTACTTAAATGTCACCCTCTTGCCCAAAGAGGGTTTTGTGCTTTTGAGTTTTCCCGGGAGGACGTCGTGTCTTCTGCATCCACCACCAACACAGAATTGGCACAGCCCTCGCACCAGGCAGCTGGTTCTCCCTGATACTGTGACCCCTGCAGTGCTGGGAGCATCTGGACTTCGAAGGCAAGAAGCAGAACTTTGAGAATTTTTTTTTCTCAGGCTTCACAAAACCTCCTTTTTTTTGGTGCGGAGATGGGGAACATGGACGGGAAAACCGTGGAGGAGCTCAGCACCACCGAGTGCCACCAGTGGTATAAGAAGTTCATGACGGAGTGTCCTTCTGGCCAGCTCACCCTCTACGAGTTCAAACAGTTTTTTGGCTTGAAAAACCTGAGTCCTTCAGCAAACAAATACGTTGAGCAAATGTTTGAGACGTTTGACTTCAATAAGGTAAATATTGTCCTTCCCGCTCAGCTGCGCTGGGATGGGCCGTGCTCTGCTCCCTGTGATCCCCCGCAGTGTGTTTGGGTGTGTGTGAGATATAGAAACTGTCCTGAGTATGCACAGCCTGATTTTCTGTGGCCTCATAAATTGCAAAATCAGTTCTGGGAGGTGAAAAATGCCAGCAAAAAACTCTTCACCCGCTGCCTGTTCTGCCAGAAAGCAGACTCCTCCCAGAGCTGATATTTTCCTTTTGATTTTAAGTGATTAAAACAGTGGGGTTTTATCTGGCAGGCTGTGATCCCTTTAAAATGAAGTGCCCTTTAATCCTTAAGTATCAAATGTTGTGACAGTAAGGAACGAGTGGTGTGAGAACAAGGGCTGCATTCATGCAGAGACAGCGAGTTCCCAAGCCACGAGCCACAGTTTACAGAACAGATCGGGTCTGTTTTGCATTGCTTTAAATAATAAATGGATTAGTTTCATTGATTTTTTTTTGCCATGTGCTCTGTCCCCTGTGATAAGGAGCTCAGGTCCTTTGTTCCCTGTGGGGAGGGAGGCTTTGCTCCTTGGGCTGTTGCTGTGCTGGACCCCCAGAACGGGGCAGTCCTGGAGCACCTGCACATGTTTGGGAGTGCTGCCAGAAAAGCAGCTGGATGCTGAGTCTCTGAGAGGAAACAACATCCTCCTTTACTTGCAAATGATTTGAAATTGCGCCTCCTGTGAGATGAGGAATATGTTTTACGGCAACTCAAAGGCTTTAATGGCCTTAATCCCATTGAAAAAAATGCAAATCAGGCCCCAAATCCTTCAGGTGTTTGCTTGAGCCTTGGCCTTTACCTTGCTCACTGCCCCGTGTTTCAATGCATGCCTAAAAAGGGAATTGATGCACTGGAAATCCTGCTGGGAATGGGGCTTAGCAGCTATTTATACCTAATCTGGCTCCTGCAGCAGTGGGATAAAGCAGATGATCTCCTCCTGAACCGGCCCGGCGGAGCCGTGGCTTTGTTCATTGACAAAACCCTGGCTTATGCTCTAATGAACTGTCCCTGGTTGGCAGTATGGAATCATGGAATCATTAGGCCTGGAAAAGACCTCTCTAAGATTATCAAGTGCAACCCTTCACCCAGCTCCTCCATGTCACCACTAAACCACATCCCCAGGTGCCACATCCTTTTGAGCACTTCCAGGGACGTCCCACGTGCCATTTTCCTTCCAAGTGCCGTGGCAGTGCTCTGTGGTGGGCAGGAGGCATTTCAGCAAAGCTTACAGGAGCTGTGAACATCATGGGCAGTGTCTGGTGGCCTGTGAGCTCATCCCAGCAGCTCTGCAGTGATCCATAGCCCTGGGAGCGGGCCCTCTGTGGGTCCAGCTGAAGGTCCCCTAATGCCATGGCAGGAGCTGGAGGTGGGCAAACACCTCGGAGGAAAGTCAAAGATAAAACTGTTTGTGCTTTTGACGTGACCAAATGTGAGGCAAATACAGAACTGGCACAGGGACAGGGCAGCACCTAGGCCCACATGTCACCAACATGCTGAGGTGACTCCTGATGTTATTCCTCTCCGGGATTTTTTCATCCAAGACCCCCTTGCAGCAGAAAAGAGCTGTAGGTGTGTGCAGGCAGGATGAGGTTGCGTAATCCATCAGGACTCATCTGCATAAGCCTCTGCCTCTTTGACCCCTGAATTACCACTGCTTTGCATAAAGAGATTCCCTGAGCACAGGCTTTGGAGGCTTCCTTAGTGCCCAAGCCAGGAACACCCACCGAGCTCATTCCTTCCCAACAAATAACGAGTTCATTCCTTCCCAACAAATAACGGTCTGAGGTTGGGTTTGATGATCTTGGAGGCCTTTTCTAACTTCAGTGATTCTCTAATTCTGTAATGGCTCTGCACAGATTGAGATGGAGCCTTGGCTTTAACCACTGGGCATGCAGGGGACCCACACCCCCCTGCCCTCTGCTGTGCTTCACAAGCCCCTGTCTCAAGGTGGAGGCCACCAGTGGGGACCAGTTCCAGCGGGGACCTCCAGAAGTGACCAGGAAAATCACATATTGCCTGATTCTCTGCTTGTAATCTCATTTTGGCTTCTAACCTTCTGCTTTCAGGATGGCTACATAGATTTTATGGAATATGTGGCAGCTCTGAGCCTGGTCCTGAAAGGGAAGGTGGACCAGAAGCTGCGGTGGTACTTCAAGCTCTATGATGTGGACGGGAACGGCTGCATTGACCGGGGAGAGCTGCTGAACATCATCAAAGTGAGTGGGCTCAGCTTTTCCATTTCTGTCACAGGTGGTCATTACAGGCAGGTAGACAGAAAGGTTGTAAGAGGAACATTCCAACCCAGCTAATTCCATGGTAAATTAGTAGGCACTGGCCAAACCTGCTGCTTGTCCTCTGCCAGTCCTCCCTGGTGGACCTGCCTCCAACATCCCACACCTCCCATGGCATCTGCACACCCTGACACACAGCAGCCCCTGGTCTTCTCCTGGCTGTTTAACCCCATCCACTAAAACTTGGACTGAGATAAGCACTTGAATTTAATCTAAGGGTTTTCAGAGGTGAGCAGCTCCTGGTTTATCCCAGCATGCCCACTGAATCTTGTAAAGCGTTGACTGCCTTTGGAAGTGATTTTAAACTCCAGTTTTTTTAGACAAGACTTATTGCTTTCAAAACCTAACTGCCTGCAAAATAGTTTAGCCTCCCATGGTCTCTGGTGTCTCAGGTCCCGTGGCCACTTGTGCTGATGGATACACAACCTGCACAGCACTCAGTAATTCCCTTGTGCCCTTCGTTCCCTCCAGGCCATTCGAGCCATCAACCGCTGCAACGAAACGATGTCGGCTGAGGAGTTCACAGACATGGTGTTCGACAAAATCGATATAAATGGAGATGGTGAGGAACTTCCCTAAGCAATTCCAATGCTCCCACCTTCCCCCTTACCTGCCAGAGCAATTCCAGGTGCTGGGTGTCCCAAAACACCGGGATATGGGGAGAGCTGGCAGAAGGTGGGTCTCCGTGAGGGTTGAGCTCCCCATCCCCTCTGTGGGCTGCAGCTGGCCCAAGGGGACACTGCAAACTGCCCCTTGTCCTACTGGCAGGGTGGGGATCTGTGGTGGGATTTGGGGTGCACAACACGCATATTTAAGACCCCAAATTTAGAGTCTGTATAACTCCTGGGGGGGCTGCTGTGACACCATCAGAGAGGCTGCAGGATCTTACAGCCCCTTTGTGAACGTGCTCCCGCAGGTGAGCTCTCCCTGGAAGAGTTCATGGAGGGCGTGCAGAAGGATGAAATGCTGCTGGACACCCTCACCCGCAGCCTGGACCTGACCCACATCGTCCGGTTGATCCAGAACGACGGGAAGAACCCGCACGAGCTGGAGGAGGCAGCGGCTGAGAAGTAACCTCCCGGGACGCTTTCCCTGCGCCTCCACTTTTCCCCCCTTGCATTATTAACTCGTGTCGTGGTTGTGGGAGCTGGTGAACTGTCCCAGTGCCAGTGTGTGGCCACAGACTACCCTGTTAGTGCAGGGACCAGGACCTGCTCCGAAGGTGCCGCTCCCCCCGCAGATGGTTTGGAGGAGCCTGGGCGGCCCTGCCTGGTGCAAGAGGAAAAGCTGCTGCAAGGAGGGGATGTGGACACATGGAAAACACACGCCCCACCCCGGATTGCCACGGGCCTTGAGCTGTGCAGGGGCCTCTGGACGTTGCTGTTGAGCAGAGTGGGGGGACAATGTCACCTCCCCAGGCAGGGGAGCAGCACGAGGGTGTGCAGCCTGAGAACACACAGACAGCGCCTCAAAATTTAGGCTGTGGCCAACACCAGCCTCTGCAGCCTTGGCAGGGGACAAACCCCAGCACTTGGCCCCAGTGTGAGGGGTCCTAGAAAAGCAAAACTAAACCTTCTCCTCCCGTTTATATTTCCAGAGCAAGCAGTCACCGTTTTTGGTCACCTGTTCTTTGATTTATTATTAGCAATGATTAGTGATAACGTAAGGTAAAAACATTTACGAGCTAGAAAAAGGGGAGGGGTGAATGCAGTGGCTTTTCTTTGTTTAAAAGCATTAAAAACATCGAATGGTGCCTTTTTTTAACAACCACCTGGACTTTAAGGGCATTTTTCTCCTTGAAGTGTCTGGAAGTAATAAGTACTTCCAGATAAGTAGAACCAGATATAAGTACTGCAACAGCAGTAACCTGAGAAGGAGAAGCTTTGCACGTTTGTAGGAATATTCCTGCAGGTTTTACCACCTGGACAGCAAAATCAAACTGCCCTGTGAGTTAGACTTGAGCATCAAGGTGGTTTTAACCCCATTTTGGAGGGGTGGGTGAGCTGCTAGAGGCGGGCGAGCTGCAGCGCCCGCGCCACGAGCATCCGCGAGTACCCGAGCCTGGGTACCATCACCTCTGACATGGGATCACGTACAGTCCCCCACGGAATAAAAAACCCCTTCTCAGAGCACCCTGGGGCCCAGCAGCCTCATGCCACGAGCAGGGGCTGCCCCCAGGACCCCGCACACGCACAAGGGCGGCTGCGGGAGCGGCGGCCTCGCCCCAGCCCACCCCTCATCCCTGAGCCGGGGCTGAGCCTTGGCTGCTCCCGGAGAGGAGCTTCCTCCTCTGATGGGAGCAAGTTTCAGGCGTGGTGAGGCAATACAGGACACCAGGAAGGGTTTCTTGCCCAGCTGAAAGTCTTGTTATTTAGCACTGGGTGTTTGTAACCCGTAAGCAACTTCCTGACCATTTTTCCTGTGCGTCTTGTTCACTGGGCAGTGTTTTGCCTGGAAGCTTTCGTGCTTCCAGTCTTGTAGTGAACTAATAAAGATGCTTTACAACATTATTCTGGGTTGTGCTTCTTCTCTCTTTCAATCAATCCTTCTGTTTCCAGCGGGACAGATTAACTGGCTCATGCAAGTGCAAAAACCCTTGGTTTGACTTTTATTAAAACAGTTCTTTTACAAGAACAGCACAAGCTGTGGGGAGAGGTCTGATTTCTTCAGGATCAATGTAGAAAAGGAGCTGCTCCCAGGTTCTTGCATCCCATGGGTGCTGCCTGCTCTTCTGAACCTCACATGCATCAAGTCAGGCAGTTTTACCTTTAATAAAACCCTTAATAAAACCTTTAGTAAAGCCACCACCCCCTGGGTAGTCCTACATCTGTTTCTTCCAGAGCTCTGCTTTACACACCCACATTTCCAGGCACATCGTTTCCCTCCCTTCATTGCAGCCCCACAACTCCCTCCTGGCCTGTTTTCCACCCAAACAGACCAGCAGGTTCAGGCTCTGGGGTTGTTGTCAGGCACAGAAACACACCATGGAAAGGAGCCCTTTGATGGGCCAACCTGTCCACTCACACCAGTGCAAGAGAGAGAAGCTGCAACTGGTTATTAAAGGTGGGCTGAGCTGTTTACTCAGTGTGTAACACTCCTTCTTGCAGCACAATTAACTCCCCCACAAATGACCAGCACAAAACTTACAGCACTTTGGCTTTAGAACAGCACAAGGAGGGAGCTGAGCTGAGCTCCAGTGCCTCCTGTGCTTCCTTCAGTCCCTCCTCTGCACCCAAAAAGCAGCTCTGACAAGCCCAAATTCTATTTATAAAGACAAAGTTATTCTAAAAAGGCTGTGTCAGGACTGCCAGCAGGCCAAAGACACCTTTCAAACCTCAGTGTCTCTGTTCCAAAGGATGTTTTTTCAGCCTCTAAGAAAGCAAATAAGAAATAATTAGAAACTAATGCAGTGACTCTCCTGGCCCCAGCTCATGCATAAATCATTTATTTCCAAATAGTGGTGGCTGTTGAGGTGCCACAGGCACATTGCTCACCCCTGTGACAATACCCCTGGTGCTGGGAGGCAGGGGGAGTGTGGGGGAGGATTTTTTGGGAGGGATGGGCCTGGGAGGCTGCACGGCCACACTGCAGGTCTGACCCCAGGTCCCAGCTCTGCCTCTGCTTTGGGGTGACCCGGGACCAGACCCTGGAGCCAGGTTTGTTCAGAAGAGCTGCAGCTGCACTAAAATTATAGAGTTATAGAACAGTTTGGGTTGGAAGGGATGTTTAAAGGTCATCTAGTCCGACTCCCCTGCGATGAGGTGGGCACAGAATGATGGAATCATTAAGGTTGGAAAAGACCTCCGGGATCATCGGCTCCACCCTGTGCCTGATCCTCACCTTGTCCCCCAGCCCAGAGCTCCGAGTGCCACATCCAGGCTTTCCTTGGACACCTCCAGGGACGGGGACTGCACCACCTCCCCGGGCAGCCCCTTGCAATGCTTGAAAAACTCCCTTCCACTATCCCAGGTTGCTCCAAGCCCTGTCCAACCTGGCCTTGGACACTTCCAGGGAGGGGGCAGCTCCCGGGGCAGCTCCCGGGGCAGCCTGTGAACGCTCACAGTAAAGAATTCCTCCCTGATATCCCCTCTGAGTCTCTCCCGTGTCAGTTCGCAGCCGTTCCCGCCTGTCCTGTCCCTGCCTGTCCCGAGCAAACCCTCCCCATCCCTGTTTTTTGGGAGCCCTTTGGACACTCCCCGAGTCCCGCTCCCGTGTCCGGCAGCGCCCCCTGCCGGCTCCATCGGGAATCCCGGGAATCCGCCGGGATGGGCCCGACCCATCCCAAAATCAGAGGGAAAGGCGATGATGAGCTCAAACGGCAGAAACATCCCCTTGTGTATCCTCGAGAGGTGGGGCGGGAGACCTAAAAGGCAAAGAAGTGACACAAAACTCGCTCTCAGACTTCCAAAGATCCTTTTTCCACTGCATATTGCTGATCCAGTGTTCCTGCAGCACACCCCTGATCCCAGAACACCAGCAGGCTGCCTTAAATACAGGATATCTGAGGGTGATGCGTTTGAGATACTTTCTAAAGTTCTGAGGAGCTTTTTCCTTTGAAGAAAAGGAAGAACAGAAAGAAGAGAAAGGAAAGGAGAAGGAAGGATAATAGGGAAAAGGAAGGAAGGGAGAGAGAGAGAGAAAGGAGAAAGGGAGAAAGAAAGGGAGAAAGAGAGAAGGAAGGAAAGGAAGAAAGGAAGGGAGGGAGAGAGAGGGAAAGAAAGAAAAAGAAAGGAAAGAAGGAAGGAACGAGGGAAAGAAGGAAGGAAGGAAAGACAGAAAGGAAAGAAAGAAATGAAGAAAGGAAGGAAGAAAGGAAGAAAGGAAGAGAAAGAAAGAAAGGAAGGAAGAAAGGAAGAGAAAGAAAGACAGAAAGAAAGAAAGACAGAAAAGAAAGAGGGAAATTAATTTTAAGGAATTTTTCCATACTGGCAGAGCTGCACACAGGTGCTTTGGGAATGGCCTGGACACAAGCCTTCCCTCTGGGCAGCCACTGAGCCCCAGCTGCCCAGGGATGAGCCTCCCCTCTCTGAACATCATTTTAGGGACCCAGAGCCTGCCTAAGCACAGAGGTGGGTGCAATGATCCTCTTTCCCTCTCAGCCTTTTATTTCTGCTGCTCAGAAATGCATCTTCCAGAGTATTTTAGGATGTGAGGCCTCCTTGGCTCCTGCTCCCTCTTCCCTTCTACAACAGCCTCATCTCCAGCTTTCTAACCTGACTGTTCCACCTTGAATCCTGCCCAACTTCAGGGGGCATCAAGCATGGGAGCAGATGGTAGCCCAGAAAAATCACATGGCATTTGCCTTTTCCAAGCCATCCTGCTTCCAAATTTAGCCCCGAAAGAAATCCGATCAGCCAAATCCAATTCTAGCTGGGCTGTAAGTCTGGAAAACGGATTATGCAGAGTGCCTGACATCAACAGCTTGCTGCAAATGTTGGGTTGAGTTTGGGAAGAGATCAGAGTGTTTATACCTATGGATTTAAAAATAGCACTAAGACCAAAGCAGCCTGTGATTCCTTGACAAAAGATTACACAATCAGTAAGAGGGACAATTTTCCACTGGGTTATGCCAGCACTGACACGACTATATCCACTTTGTCCATCCCAGATCTGCCCAGGCCAGAGGAGCTGGAAACATCCAGCTCCTGAGCCCTAAATTCCTCAGGGTTCCTGCTTCAGTCCTGGCAGGGTCACAGTGGGGGCATCTGCAGCACTGGCAGCTCACTTTATTTTAAGCACCCATTTCAAATTCCATTGAGAAATATCATTTTTTTTACTCATATTGTTGTGCTTTTTGCTGTCATCACATGAAAGTTAAACAGAAGAGACTCATTCCCTGCTCTGCCTCTGCAAAAGCGTCGTCATCTCTGCCTTATCTCTGTCTTTTACCAACACCTCCCCTAAATTCAATATATCATTCTCACAGGCTACAGTTTCACTCAGGTGCTTACACAGATCTTCACTTCCACGCTAATCAAAAAAGAGAAATGCTATGACACAAAGGGTTTTAATAAATATTTCTTTATTCAAGTCGTGTGTTACAAAATTCCTACCAACAGCTGTGCAAGTGCTCAGTGCTGGGTGCCCTCTGCACCCCAGGAGAGGGGTGCTGGCACGAGCCCACCAAACAGCCCCTTCAGTGCCTGGGGCTGAGCAGAATTGGAGAATTTAAAGCATTGAAGTCAACCAGCAACGTGCAACTACAGTAACTAAACAGCCACTTCAAAACTGTGCGAGGAGCAGAGTTTGTTACGTCGGTTGAGATGCTGAAATTCAAGGAATTAGAGATTTGTATCCTCTGATGAAAACATTTCTCCACAAGTTGAATGTTTTCATTCTCATTTCACAAAAGTGAATGTTTTCACGCAGGCTCTCAAGTCAGAAGTGAGATTTTTCTGTCAGATCTTTGGCTGATAAACTATTGACTTGAAAGAGCCTGAAAGAGCAGCATAAACCAGGAGTCTAATCAGCTCTGATAAGTAAGCACAGCACAGACTAGTGTGTATTTACAGAGAACTCTTAGAAAGGCTATTTTGAAGTGGAAATCTATATGATTTGAACTCTAGCACTGATTGTGCCTTATCCTGAACACTTCCTCATGTCCCTGAATTTAAACACTGGCTAAACTGACAAGACCACAAACCAGCAAACTAACCAACTAATGACAGATAGTACACTCCTAATTAAAGGCCACAAAAAAGGGATTGTAAATCGTTTCATTGGTATGACCTGGTCCACTGACCCCAGGGGAAAATTAAAATGAAACAGGCAAACTCATGTTATTTTTTCCTGGTTAAATTTTTCTTGTAAATGAGCCAGTAAATCCAATAAAGATGATCCAAAATATTGATTCAACCCAAACTCTTTTTCCACATACATACATGTAGAAATATGGGTTAGAACAGCAGAGCTCAGCCTGCAACGTGTGTGAATTTTGTATCTGTGGCTAAATTAAGTCCAGTGTAAAACCACTGTACTGCTTCATAACTCGGATTTTTGTCACTTTTTCTATTCTTTTCAAGGCCAGGCTGGACAAGGCTTGGAGAAACCTGATCTAGAGAGTGGCATCCCTGCCCATGGCAGGGGGTTGGAACTGGAGGAGTTTTAAGGTCCCTTGCAACCCAAACCATCCTGTGATTTAGGATTGGGTGGTCCTGCCAATAAAGCAGCACAAATCCTCTCACTGCAGAGACACTGCCAACCAAAACTCTGCTCTCCCCTTTATCTCTGCTTCCACACAAAACTTTCCCCAGTGCAGTGAAGAGCTCCTGGAGCTCACCCACCCTTCACAGAGCAGAAGCTGTTCCAGAGTCATGATTCCCTAAAAACCAAGGGCTCAAAAGGAGCCCAGTCCCTCTTGTGGCCTTCTGTCCTCTAAATGGGGCCCTGAAGAGGAGCAATTCCTGTGCTGCTCAGTGTTTAGAACAGCATTTATCCAGCCCCTCAGAGACCCTCTGAACAGGCAGAAGGAGCAGACTCTGGTGCACAGGAGGGAGGGGAAGGACTTACTGCTCCCCCTCTCCAGCCCATGCATTGTTTCCCTCAGCTCTGTGTGGTGCCTTGGCTACTGCTCTAGTCCAATTCTCATTTTTGGACTCAGCAATCTGTTGGTCTTCACTAATTTGACATTATAGGCTACAAAAACACACCCAGACATCCTGGATGTCTCACACCTGCCAGAGCCCCTCTGATGGTGCCACTGGTGGTTTGATGTGTTGTATCTCTGAGTGATGCAAACACCAGGACCACTGCCTGGCTTTCTTACCTCCCCATCCTGTCTGTCCTCAGACTAAAACCCTGCTCAGGATCTGCTGCAGGAAGCCACAAAAAAAAAAGTTTGTTCCTTTGGGGTGTAACCAAAAACCAGAGCTGGCAAACACAGTACTGTGTACACAGAAAGACTTATTCATGGGCCAAAAATAGTCTCTGGGTACCAGCAGCACGTGGGTTTTAGGTCGAGATACGGCTTCTTAAACCATCCCAAGTTTTCATCTGGATGCTGAGATTGGATTACAAGGGAAAGTCCCTACCACCCTAGAGGAAGAGTCACACTTGGAGTCAGCATCACACTTTCAGCTGTGTCAAAGCTGAATTTTCTCAAAGTGCAGCACTCTTCCTCCTCTGCTCAGTGATCCAACCCCCGGGGTTCACATCCATTTGCAACATCTTCATCACCCACTTGTCTTTCCTGGCTCCATCAATGAACTCATCAAGAGACAACTGCCCTGTGGATGAGATGAGGGGGATACAAGATGCAGAGTCAAAAGGGGAGAGATAAGAGGAGAAGAAGAAGAAGGCAGGAAGCAAATACCATCTGTGTTTCAGATAATATGCTAATCAGACAAGAGCTTGCTTCATTCCCCCACCTAGTTCAGGCCAGGGCTCTGAAAGACAAACCACAGGCTGTGGCCAGTGCATTCACCTGCCCCATCAGAACAGGAGATGAAACGTCTCAGTAGCTCCCCCAGGCTCGTCCAGGATTGCAAGTCTGATCCTGCAAGCCCCAGTTTGGAACCACTGTCTTTATTCAGGCTATTTGTGCTGGGACCAGGACCTGTCCTCTGGCTCTTGGGGCTTTCAGAGGATGAGATCTGTGGGGCATCAAAATCCACACAGAACAGTGACTCTTCTGTATTTTATGCTAAAATAACAGTGACAATTATTTCACCCTCCTCCACCAAGTTACTTTTGATTCTATCAAACAGAGCAGAACCAAGCCCAGTGTGTCTGTTATGAGTAACACAATAGTCCCAAGGGATTTCTGGAGAGCCACAATCAAAGTCAGCCTGCTTTGAGGTACCTCTCATTAGACACGAATGCAACCTGTGCCACTGATCACTTACCATCCCCATTCTCATCCACTAACTCAAATATCCTGTCCACAACCTCCTCTGGGGTGAGCAGTGGGGTCGTCCTGTCCTCCGTGTCTGACCAACACGCCCTCTTCAGCCTGTAGATAGACTGAAAATGGTCACAAATTAAGAGAAGAACTGGAAAGTGAAAAGCACTGAACTCCATTATCATCCCAACGCTGTTAAAGGTCTTTTTCAAAGGCTGTGGGTTTGACCTCTCTGGAAGGCTCTGCCACTCAGCAGCCTCAGATCTGGGATGAAACCTCTGACCTTACACCCACACAGGCTGCAGATTTACCTCATCTGCTCTTTGAAAGTGCTGCCCTCCTGTTTTCCTCACACGTACTGCTCAGACCTCGGGGTTCCTTTGCAAAGAACAAAGGGAGAGTTTCACAGATGGGAAAGTCATCTGACCCGACTGGGATTTTTTGCTAACATCCAAAGCCAGGCACAGCTGGACTTACCCAGCCCTCTCTCTCTCCCAGGGAACTTGTGCCCAAGCTGCAAGATCAAGCCTGTATTAGCACGTGTTTTGACCCACAGCTTCTGTTCCACTTTGCCACGGGATAGGGGCAGATTTTATCTACTCCTCCCTTGCCACCTGTTCACTGTCACCTTTACTCCTTAGGCTGAAGGGTTTTGTCTAAAGTCACCCCAGAGAGGGGATTAGCAGTGGCCTCACACAGTTCTTGCAGTTCTTAGCTGACCTCAAGACTAAAATGGGATATTGCCCCAGACGGGCTGACCCGATTCCCCCACACCTGGGGCTGCAGGTAACGACCTGCTCACGCTTCCCAGCCAAAATCTGCTTTCCACACGTCCAATTCCTGATGTGTTCTTGATATTGCATTTCCCCTGAGATCCTAGAACGTGTGGTAACCACTGACTGAGCCTCCCAGGCCCTGCTGTGAAGGGGGAGCAGCACCTGAAGTATTCACATCAAGTAAGAGCACAGGCCCCCTGTGTCTGACTGTCTGCTGAGCCCCAGGGGATGGTTCAGGTTGGAAAAGACCTTCAAGATCACTCAGTCCAACTGTTAGCCCAGAACTGTTCACCACTGAACCACGTCCCCAAGTGCCACATCTACATGGCTTTTAAATTCCTCCAGGGATGGTGACTTCACCACTGGAGAACCCTTTCAGTGAATGAATTTTCTCTAATAACCAACCTAATGAGTCTCCCCTGGTGCAGCTTGAGGTGAGTTTCTTCTGTTCTATAATTTGCTACCTGGGAGAAGAGACCAGCTCCCACCTTGCTAATCAAATCACAGAATCACCCAAGTGCCTCTTCTCAGACCTTCACACAGTCACTAATGAAATCCAAGTGCAGAGCTGCAAAAACCCAGAAAGGAACCATTAAAAATGGATTTTTGTGTGAATTTGTGCCTCTCAGTGTGTTCTCACCAGCTACTCAGGCAGAAAACAGCTCCTATAAGGGGCATGGGGTGAAACCCTCTTCCAGTGCAATGAATCTTGGTGTGAGGGGGTTGAAAGGAAAGGCAGAGCAGAGATACAGGATCCCTGGACAGAGCAGCAAGGGCCAGGCTGCTCACAGGGGGTATAACAGACTCGTCAAACACCCCACCAGGCTCCAAACCACTGAGCACAGAACCCTTTCACCAGAGGTCAGGCATTTTCACTCCATCACCATCCTTGAAACCTGATTATCACCAGCCCCACACACATCATTACATTGCCAAAGAGCAGTGATTGCTTAAAGAAGTGATGAAGCAATGCCCACTTACATCAACGATTTCCAGCAGCTCAGGTCTATCTATGCAGCCATTCCCATCCTTGTCATACACTTTGAACGTCCACCTCAGCTTGTGTTCCAGTTTCCCTCGTAAAACAAGATTCAAGGCAGCTACATATTCCAGAAAATCAATGGTGTTATCCTGGGGAAACAGAAAAGCAGCAGCTGGATGACACTTAACTGGGTACAAGTTGACAGAAAACTGCTTTGAAAGCTCTAGAAAACATGAAGTTGCCAAAAAGGTATTCCATGGGACAGCTGTTTATTTGGCACTTTAAAGAAGGTTTGTGCCAGCTCAGCACCACCAGGAAGCACAGCCAAGCCCCTCTGAGGAGTGTGACAGTGGGGAGCAAAGCAATTCTCCTGCAAAGCAGTGCAGTAAGGGGGGGGGACACCTGTCAAACTGCAGAAATTAGAGATTTAAATGCCCCACAAAATGACCTGAAGGGCAGGGAGGCAGATCAGGGAATCACAGAATGATTTGGGTTGGAAGGGACGTTAAAGCTCACCCCATTCCACCCCTTGCCATGGGCAGGGACACCTTCCACTGTCCCAGGTTGCTCCAAGCCCTGTCCAACCTGGCCTTGAGGATGAGGATCAGTGCAGGAGACATTTGTATTTTGGGGAAGAGATTCTCAGTGACCTCAGCTGCTTCACTGCTGAGACCAGCACCCTTTTTACCCCTTTCCCCCATCCTTCTGTCTGGTTTTATCTTGATTGTGCTGAGGAAGAATTCAACAATGGCCATGTCACCAATCTGAAGGTGGCAGCAAGAACACCCCCAATAAAGGATTTACACCAGGATATTCATCCTCCTAAAAACCTCACCCTGAAGGGATTCAGGGCCCTCTAGAATATGGTCCTCATAAAGGTCAACACCCTCCCCAGGGCCCCTTTGGCACCTCCCAGCCCTCCCCACCCTCAGCAAACCCCTGGGAGATTTTGGGCTGGGTGAGCCCCTCTCCCCACAGGCACCAAAATGCTCCACAGCCCCTGGGAGCAATAACTGCTTGTGCTGCCCAGAGAGCAGGAAAAGACAATTGAGAAGTTGTTTCCATCTTCTTATTGTATTACCAATAATCCTTTGGGTTGTTAGGTCCTGCTCAACTGATTAGATACCCTCGGGATATTCAAACAAACTCCCTGCCTAAATTTAGTGTTCTTTATATATCAGCATCCCTTAAAGACAGGGGTTTTTGTCTTGTTAGGAAAGCTCCTATAAACTAGGAATGGGACTTCATCTGTTGTGCATATTGTTTGCTCTGCATAACTTTCATAACAAAATTTGGGGCCTGAACCTTTCTTTTTATTTTTTTCTTTTTTTTTTTAAGGAATGTGGGTTTTTCCAGCTTCAGATTCTGAGATGAGTCTGACCTGCACACATATTCCATAGGGGTTTTTTTATCCTTTCTCACAAACTGACTTTTGTTGCCACCTCACTGTGATTTTGCCACTGGTTTCAAAGGGAGCACGAGGGAAATCAGTTTGTCAGAGATGACAGACTTGTCTCCCCTTCTCCTGTATTGATACCTGGCAACAGACAACCCCACAGCTGGTATAGGATCAAAAGATTCAGGAAAAAAGAATTGAACCACTTGGCAAGCATTGCTTACCCATGTCTAGATGAGAAAAGCGACTGTGTGACATTATTTTAAGTACTTGAAATATCCCAGGCCAGTATTAGGCTGCCTTTGGCAGCAGAGCCTGGGTATGTCTGAACTGTGACTAAACCAGAAAGCCCACTTTTTCCAGGTGCCTGATGACAAATACAGCAAAGGGAATCAAAACCAGAATGTCAGAATTGTTCAGCATTCCTTTACTTTTGGAAAGCAAAGCTAAAATCAATATTTTGTTATATACCACCTGTTCATACTAAATGTATATATATATATATAAACACACTTCCTCCAACATATAGCAAACCTGAGCAGGAATTTCCTCCACTGTAACTCCCCCTTTATCACAGCAGATAAACAATTTTTCCATGTAGCAACCTTGGCTATTTGAGGATCTTTCAACAACACTGACTCAAAATGTGACACTGCGAAAATTCAGCCTTTTAATCCAGCCTTAGTCCCTTAAGGGGACACTTTGATCTTAATTTGGGTAGAGATTTAGGAGAAGATAAGTCCATCGCAGCCCAGTGCAGCTCCTCCTCATGCCTCAGTGTCCCAAGGGGTGAGCACTGCACTGAAACACCTCCAAATCCCAGGAAAAGACACGAAAATCATGACACAAATAACTGTAAAGTCTCCTCACCACTTACCCCGTTCTTATCAAAGGCTCTGAACATGTTTTCCACGTACTCTGCTGCCTCCTGGTTGTTCTGGACCCCGAAGAACCTCTTGAACTCGTGCATGAAGAGGGTCCCACTGGGACATTCCACCACAAACTTCTTGTACCACTCCTGCAGTTCTGCCACGTCGATCTCTCCTTGCTCCCCTTCAGCATTGGCAAACTGCTGTCCCATTTTGCAGGTTAAAAAAAAACAAACACAAAAAAAAACAGAAGGAAAAGAAGGAAAACCTTCCCAAATTCCTTTGCTTGTAATATCCTTTAGTTGCTGTTTCCTTGCTCTTTTTCTTCTGGCTGCCTTGTGCCTTTATTCGATTGTGTGGTTATTTCACCTTCTTTTCTTGGTGTTTTATTTTCTTCTTGCCCCCTTCTCTCCCGAGTTCTCACTGCTCCAGTTCCTTGTGCTCACTGGGTGATCTCAGAGTGGCCTCTCTGCACTGGAGCACTCTGGTCTCAGGCAGGTATAAAAGTAACTAAGATCATTAGGAGATTCCCTCCTATGAGCCCCAGAGACCTTCAGATGTTCTGAGCTGTGCCCTATTTAGAAACAAACTGCAGAGGGTCAGAGTCTTTCTATGCATTAATGCCTTTGTGGCAAAGAATTTGAGAGCTGAGGGTCCCTTTACACACAATGTAAATACTGGAGATTTTCAAGGGGGAAAAAAAAGGATTTTAAGGGAAATAACATTAGTTTTTTCAGTGCTGGCTTGGAGGGGTGACTCAACTGCTTTAGTGAGATGGGGCATAAGAACAAACAGCAATTATAGAAAGGAAATCCTGAAAAAAAACAAGCACTCCCATGAAAAAAACCTACTAATGCTTTAAGTTAATGGAATACCTACTTTAGGCTGTGCTCTATACAAAATGGTTGAGAGAACCAGTAAATAGGTATACTATTTATTATACTATTTATATTATTTATTATACTATTATACTATTATTATACTATTTATATTATTAATATAAATATATATTACAAATACATATTTTCCTCTTATTTTCACAATTCAGTCTTAGAACCTTAAGTGAAAAATAACAGGAACAGTTTATTTCCCTATTTTTAAAAGAGTTCCCCTTTATCCCCTTTTCCCTCTTCAGTGCCTTTATCCATGGAAACACTCCAGTTCCCCCTTCCCACTGAACTTTGCTTATTGTTTTTATTACAGATACCCCCTGACCTCTGCCTGCTCAGCAACAGCCACAGCTCAGACCCTCCTTTCTCTCTTTACACAAGCCATCCCTCATTCCTTCTCTTCCAGGAGCCCACCAGCTTTTACCCACATCAGACCAATTGTTCTGAGTCCAACCATTATCTGTGTCAGCTGGAAAGAATGACCTGTAGCTATAAATGTGTCCAGTCTGTTATCTTTATTAAGAGGATTGGAGCAGCATTAATAGGAAACAATGGACTCTCTTATTCTAATGCTGAGGCCCTGAAGGATTTAAGCTGCTCACTTTTTTTGGGTCTTCCTTTTTTTTTTTTGGCTTGGTTTTGTAACGAGAGTCTCTCAGAAGGAAGAATCCTGGCTAAGAATCAGGTTAAAATTTGATATTGCAGAACAGTAGAGCAATTCATGCTGCACTGGAGGAACAGGGTTTGCTCTGAGTCCACTCACACCTCTGAGTAACCCATCAGTGATATTCCATGTGTATCCATCAGGGATATTCCTGCAAATCCAGAGGTTTTCAGGAGTACAGTATAACTTTACACTTTTACATGTATAGTATAACTTTATGCTTTTACATTTTTAAGTGAACCCAGGCAATGCTTGGTTTCACTGAAGAGAAAAGCAAAAAGAGGATTATAGACAGTTGGGCAGAAGCATCCCATGGATGGGAAGGGCCAGAGAAGTTGCCAGAAAGACTATTCTATTTTAATTAAAATATTTTTATCAATAACGTAGAGGAATCGTGTTTTCTATCCTCATGCCTAGAGGAATTCAACACATTTAATGAACTCAGTCCTTCCTTTTGTAAATGCTTCAGCCTCTGACTCTGAGATTTCTTTTTCACAGCAGAGCAGCTTGAGGTCTGGCTCATCAGGAAAAATAACAGCAAATCCATCCCCCAGTGTTTTCCTCTCAACTAAACCCACTGGAAAGAAGCCACAGTGGTGTCTACAAATTATTTTATGTAATTTTTTCGAGTCATCTTGGGTAGTATCTGGTGAGGACACGGGTTCTCTCAGGGTCACAAACAGCTCCCAGGCCACAGAGGTGCTGCCAGGACAGGGGTGGGGAGGACTCATCTCTTTTTTCCTGCACATCTGAAGACTCATCTCTCTTTTCCTGCACACCTGGGGAGTTCTGGATGTGCCCATGTGGAGCCTCCCCACCATTTCGTGCTGCTCTCCTGCACGGGAGGCTGCCTGCTGGAATGTGAGTGCTCAGAGCACACAACAAGACTCCACATGCCCAGCACTGTTGCCTTGACTCATTGCATAATTTTGTTTTGCCTTATGGGGAACTCGGTGATCTGTTCCCAGGAGAGAAAATGGTTCCTTCTTTGTTTTGATGACTGCAATCTTCTCCAGCCAGGAACAAAGGGCTGCAAGAGGCCCGGGTTACAAAGCCTGGCTGCTGCTGTTGCAGGTATCATGACATCCAATCGTGTTGATAAAAGCAGTGATGCTAATTTGGCAGTGAAATAAAAGTAAATCCTATAGCTCCTGGTATGAAAATTCCTCTGCACATCCTCTCAGACTGCACTGGAGGAGTCTCTCAGCCAGCACAGTGTCACTTTATCAGGGACAGGATTTCTTAATTTAATTCGAAAAAACGGTGCAGGTAGAGGTAAATATAGGTAGAGAGAAGTAAAAATAAAAATAATTCTTTCTAGAAAACACTACAATGAAGAAATTGGTGCTTTTTGGCTGCCTGGAGGAGCAGCATCAATGCTGTGTATGTTCTGTCAGAATCAACACTTTGGATGATTAGTTACCAACAGGCAACATCTGATTACATGTCCTGCCTAATGAGTTATCCCTGAATTATTACCTATACAGCTCCAAAGCTGTGGAGTTTCCCAGCCAAGAGCATGGAAAAAAGACAGCTTATTTCCTGTCAGCTCAGTCCCAAACATGCTGCCACACGCTCCAGCAGAGGCTGGGAGAAACTCAAGAGGGAAAAAAAAAAACCACCAAACCCTGCAGAGAGCTGGGAAGACTCATTTGTTTGGCATCTGCTGCTGCTTGGGAAGGCAGTGGAGGCTGGGACAGAGGCAGCAGGTGCTGGCAGGAACGAGGGGACCAACTTCAGTCAAACTGGAGGCAAAATGAGACCCAAGGAACCCTCCCCTGGTTGTTTTGCCACGTTGCTCCCTTATTTTAAATCCCCCCAGTTCTGGCCTGCCCCAAGACCCCTCCTGTGGGTTGAGCATCTCAACTCTTCTTCCAGTGGGCCCAGAAAGAGCAAAACTGTGCCCAGGGCAGCTCCTGCTGCTCCATCACAGCCAGGCAGGGAGTGCAGGACAGGGAGCAGCATCAGCCAGGGAGTGCAGGGCAGGGAGCAGCATCACTGCTGGTGTCATCCCCAAAGCTCCCCGAGCATCCAACCACAAACAAAGCAAACCTGAAGCATCCTTAAATGTCCCCGTTGTCTCCAGGCAGGAGGGAGGCGTGGACAGCAGGAATGTGGGGAGGATGAACGGCAGCTTTTGTGCTGAGCCATCTGAGGAGAGATCAAAGATCCTTTTATAGTTGGGCTGGGAGCTCAGCCCAACACCTCCCTGTGTCTCTTCCCAGTTGTTCCCAAGATTGTCCATCCTGTTGCACGCTTTTATAGAGCAGGAACAACACCAGGGTGGATGTAATATATGTATTATTACATTGCATTACAGGAGCAGGTGTCCCTTGCTTTACATATTAAAGTACAACCAACCAAACCCATCTCACCCCCCATTTTCACTGTCACCCAACACACTGACCTTGGAGTGTCACCTTTTGTCTCCTGTTTATTGGCAGAAAGATTGTATTATGTGCTGACAAATTCCTGCTAATGTTATCCCTGAGTGGCACTCCCGTGCTGAGTGAATGAAGCCTGAGATATTTACCTTGCACTTGGCATCTTGCAAGGCAAACTTTCCAAGAAAAACGTTGAATTGCCTTCTCTGTGAGTGAAGATTTCCAAAATCCCACACAGTTCCAAGCCCTGAGCTGTGGATGTAAGTCAGCCTTTCCAAAGGCAGGACTCAGCACTCTCTGGAGTGATCACAGATGGGAAGGAGAAGGGAAATTCCCAATTTTCTTTTAATTTTTTTTCTGGTTCATTGAAACTGGCTGGTAAAGCATTGTGTGATCCTTGAAACCAAGATTCACCACTGAGTCACAGCCCTCCACCTACGAGGAAAATAAATAAGATGTGAGGCTGGAGGGTGGGAGACTGAGCAGGGACCAGAGGAGATGCTGCTGAGCCCCTTCCCAGGGGTAGGTGTGATCCCAGAGCGGGGATGGAGGTGGGAAAGAGGGATGTTTTTCTGCTTTCCAGAGAAAAAACTGCATTCCCGTGGCTTTGTGTTAATCAGAGGTGACTTTAGTTTTTACTTCATCCCATATATGGATTTCTATGGATCCATTTAGGACAAGAGGAAATGGCCCCAGGTTGTGCCAGGAGGGGGTTTAGGTTGGATAACAGGGAAAATTCTTTCACTGGAAGGATGGTCAAGCCCTGGAATGGGAGAGCCAGAGGAGTGGTGGAGTCACAGTCCCTGGAAGCATTCCAGAAACACGTGGATGTGGTGCTGTGGGACGTGGTTTAGTGCTGGTTAATGGTTGGACTGGATGATCTTAGAGAGCTTTTCCACCTTTAATGATTCTGTGATTCTGTAACTCGGCAGAATATGCTTCGAATGGCAAAAAAAAAACAACAAAAAAAACCCCAAACAGGAATGTTTTGTTTTCTTTCCCAAATATTCCATTTAAACTGGAAAAAAAGTGTCAAATTTAAAAGGAAATTTTCTTTCCCAAATAATCAATTTAAAGGGAAAAAAAATCCTATTTACAAGGTAATTTTCATTCCTAAATATCCAATTTACAAGGCGAAAATAGATCTCATTTAAAAGGAAATTTTCTTTCCTAAATATTCAATTTGAAAGGAAAAAAATATATCCCATTTAAAAAGAAATTTTATTTGTTAGATATTCCATTTAAAAGGAAAAAAATATATCACATTTAAAAGGAAATTTTCCTTCCTAGCTATTCCATTTAAAGGGGAAAAAAATTTCCCATTTAAAAGGTAATCTTTGTTCCTAAATATCCAACTTACAAAGCAAGAATATATCTCATTTAAAGGGAAATTTTATATTCTGAATATTCAATTTAAAAGGAAAGAAATATTTCCCGACTAAAAAGAAATTTGATTTCCTAGATATTCAATTTAAAAGGGAAAAATATATATACATATATCCCACTTAAAAGGAAATTTCACTTCCTACATATTCCATTTAAAATGGGGGGGGGAGTTTTAAAAGGAAATTTTACTTCCTACATATTCCATTTAAAAGGGGCGATGGGGGGAAAGTTTTATAAGGAAATTTTACTTCCTACATATTCCATTTAAAATGGGGGGGAGTTTTAAAAGGAAATTTTACTTCCTAGATATTCCATTTAAAAGGAGGGTGGGGGAAAGTTGTAAAAGGAAATTTTACTTCCTACATTTCAAATGGGGGGGGAGTTTTAAAAGGAAATTTTACTTCCTACATATTCCATTTAAAAGGGGGGGGGGGGAAATCCCGTTTAAAAGGAAACTTATTTTCCTAAATATTTCCATTTAAAAAGGGGAGGGGGAACCAGCCTAAAATGAATTTTTTTCACTAAACATCCCATTTTGAAGGGAAAGGGGTCTCTCTAGAAGGACAGGGGAGTGCGGATGCTCCTTCCAGGTTTTTTTTTTGGGAGGGGGGGACCTTTGCTTGGGCCCTCCCTCTCCCCCCGCGGTGCCCGTGGGCGGGGCGGGCGGCGCGGCTGCGCCGGGCTCACCTGGGCAGGTGAGGGCGGGGCGGGCGCTGAGTGTGCGCGGCCGCCGCGCTCCCCGAGCCCACGCGCGGGCCCCGCGGGGCGGCCCCAGAGCCCCCGCGGGCGCGGAGCCGCTCCCCGACCCGCCGACGGCACCGACAGACCGACAGACGGACGGACGGACGGAGCGGGTGAGTCGCGCGGGGATGGGATGGGACGGGATGCGACGGGACGGGAGCGGCCGCGGGATCCGCCCTTCGCGCAGCTCCCGGGGGAAGGGAAGGGGGGTTTGGGTAGGGGGGAAAAGCCGACAGGACGCGCGGGATGGAAGGTCGGCGGCTCGGCGAGCCGGTGGGAGCGCCCCGAATCCCGGCGGGATGGGCGGTGGTGCAGGGGGGTGGTGGTGGTGGTGCCGTGGGGGTTCGTGCGGCTCCGCGGGCAGCCGGGAGGGCAGAGCCCGCTGAAAATGGCAATTTATGGCTCCCTTCCCCATCTGCGCCGCGGGTTGGGCTGTCCTAGCCCCGGGCTACGCCTTTCAAGTCGGGGTAAAGCGAGGCCTAAAGTTAGGGCGAGGGTGGTGTTTGCCCCCCACCCGCTTCGGCCGCTGCTGGTATCACCCCAACAACCAACACTGGAACAACTCATGCCCCTTCCAACTTTATGGGCTGCCGGGCCCGCGGCAGGGGGCTGGAGTTTCCAGGTTGGGCTGCAGGGTCTGGGAATTGGGAGAGTTAATCGTGACTGGGAATTGGGAGAGTTAATCGTGACTGACTGGGAATTGGGAGAGTCCATCGCGACTGACTGGGAATTGGGAGAGTTCCCCGTGTTCAGGTGTGTTGTGGAGGGGGGGCGCCGGTGGATAGGAGAAGAGAGATGTAGAGATCTCTGAAATGTGGGAGCTCTGGGTTCCCGCTGTAGGGAGGTGATTGTCAGATGGAAATTCAGTTTCTCCGTGGGAACGTTTGTCTTTGTAAAAATGGATACAGGTCCATGAGATACAGGGTGATGTAATCAAAGGTAGCAAGCAAGGAATGGGGTCTGTGGTGTTGAACCCAGAGAAGACCCTTCCTTCTTCAGAGCCTTAATGGACGAGGTGGAGCAGGAACACTGAATATATTTGGGAGTGCAGGCGGAGAGTGAAAGCATCCGTGCAGCAAAGCCCAGCCGGGCTTCAGGCCGCGTTTTCCTGGCGCACCGTGTGTTTTTGGGCTCTCTGGCACCACTCCAGGGCCCCGAGAGTCACCACAGCGGACCGGGGCTGTCCCTGACCTTGGTCACTGCTCTGCAGCCGCGGGGAAGTGGCTGCGGGATGTTTGCTCCCTTCTCGAGTTGTTCTCGTCGGGGTGACCGTCTCCTCTCCAAGGAGAAGTGTCAGACTTATTAAATAATAATTAGGGTACAGGGAATAATTACATCGCTGACCGTGCATTAGCAGCGCAGGGACGTGCTAATTATCCCCGCACACCACCCAGATTGAGTGGGAATGAAGCGAACTGGAGGATCCCTGGCTCCGGAGTGAGGGCCAAACCTCCCTTGGAGTAGTGAGAAGACATTCCCGGAGTCTCTGGCACTACTGGACGCCCCCCCCTCCCCCGGATCGAAGTTGAAGGTTGTAAGAGGCTGACTCACCGTCTGAGCCCAGCAATGGGATTCAAGTTGATTTGCTCTCGGTTATTGTGTCAACAAGTCATTGGCGATAAAAGGTCATAAAGCATTGTAATGCCGGGCACTGACAGGCGCTGTCTGCGAGCCGGGGCGATCCCAGCCCAGCCCACGGCACCCGACTCGTTTGCTGGGAGAGGGGCACTAATTTCTCTCCTCGTTCTGTGGGTTTGAATTTACTGCTGGCCTTGCAAACGCGTGTGTACTCAGTGTTTGTTGTCAGAAGGGACTGCTTGTAAAGTGAAGTGTGAAAGAGGTGGTGGAAACGAGCCTTGGGAAGGATTTTTCTGTTAAAATGCCACTTTTTTTTTTTGTTTCCTTTCCAAGAAAAATCCACACCTGCTTTTGCTCTCGATTCCAAGTCCAGGATTAACCTGGACTTTGTGTCTTTGCAAACACGCTGCAGAGTTTCATTCTGAGGGCACTTCTGACATGGAGAACTAACACAGCAGAGTTTCAGGAGCACAGGATAATTTTGATGATTGCTTCCTGATCCTTTGCAGCTCCTGGGAAACACTCTGCTAATGTGCCCACACATTTTCAAACTATTATTTAAGGATGATTTGCAGTTGAAGCTGAATATTTTCTTTGTTTAACAGATAGACTAAATTGTGTTTGGATTAATTTTGTGTGAGCACTTGCATCTGAATGGGATCTACAGGTATTTGAACAAATAAAACCTGTTCCTAGACTAGTTCTTGGATAGGATTTCTTTAATCTTCTCCATCTCTGCTACTAGATGTATTTTGCAACTCCTGCAGCAGTATTCAGGGCTTATGGCAAAGGTTTTACTTAACCTGTTAACTGCTTTATTAATGGGAATATTTGTAATTTCTCACCTCTGTTTCAAGACTTACAAAGGAATATGGAGGATGCACCTTCTAAGCACATGTAGAAGTCCCCTTCTAAAATTCAAAGGTACTGAATGTTTCCTGGCCTTGCAGAGGCACAGGCATTAATTTTGTTTGTTTGGCTTTGTTCTACACAAGGAAAATATTGTTGGTTGGCTGCAACTGTGTCGGCAACACGGGACTACTTAAATGAAAACATTAAGTAAACAGCACTCGATTTTTAGCAGGAGTGCAGGGCAGACTTGCAGTTCATGTCCTTCTGGATAAACATCCTGGTTATTACAGGTCAGTGGTGTTTGCCAATGATTATGCTGCTTTCAGGGCATTCGTGAAAAAGCCATAAAATGACTTTGGGAGGAACTTCTGTCTCTGGGCTAAAACAGCCCCTTCCACCCCAGCTGGGCTGAAGCACGTGTGAGTTTTTCTCCTCCTCGATGGCAGGTCTGACAGGACTGAAAAGGAGCACGAGATCGGATCGGCCCCTTTGCTGAGGCTTTGGAAACTCTGCTGCCTGTTCTTGCTGTGGCTTGTTCGTGGCTTTATCTCCAGCTCGGGTTCGCTCGGGGCTCGCCCTCCACGCGCTCAGCGAAGGCAAATAACGCTCTGTAGAAGATTTAATAGCGAGTGGTTGTCCTTGTAACAGTCCTGGTCCCCGCTCAGTGATGTGTGAGTAACTCCTGCTGGCAGAGGAGTCGCCCAGCTGAGTCCGAATGAGTGGTTTCAATGTGCAGCAACACGAAAAATAACAGCAGTAATCCAGCGTTTTTTCACTGAATGAGTTCAGGGTTTTTTTAGAGCATTGGGGTCCTGGCTGACCTGGAGCAGTGGGTGAGTGGTTGTCCATCCCTGTCTCTTGCAGACCATGGCGCTGCACCCGCGCAGGGTTCGCCTGAAGCCGTGGCTGGTGGCCCAGGTGGACAGTGGGATGTATCCCGGGCTCATCTGGCTCAACCGTGAAGCCAAACGGTTCCAGATCCCCTGGAAACACGCGACCAGGCACAGCCCCCAGCACGAGGAGGAGAACACCATCTTCAAGGTGAGGCAGGGCAGAGCTTGGGGGACCACGGCTCTGAAACAGGGACAGAGGGGTGGATTTTTGGCCCAGGAGCTGCTTCCAGGCACATTTTGTCCCATTTATCCGTCCTCAGAAAAGCCACTTTGTGCACCTGGATGCCAAGGTTGGCACTGCCTGAGTCGGTGTTGAGTTCTTTAACCCTTTCCAACCACCAAAGGCCAGATGGTGTCTGAGGCCTGGGCTCTGGAAGATTGCTGCTCCTTGTTTCATCTGCTGGGTTTAGAATGTGGGAGCTGCCTTGCTCTTGCTACCAAACCAGTAAATGCTGTTACATCTGAAGAGGTCCCACCACAAGCTCATCACAAGCACTCATCGCTGCTGCCACTGATATTCTTATCCCAAGGGATTGATTATAACTCCCTGCACTCCTTGGAGGAATTTCTGGCCTCTGTCTTGGAGGCATCTTGGGCTGATAGTCTGATTTTTGAGGTGAGAGAGTCACTGGACGTCTGTGGCTGCCCTTTCACTCCATTTTAACCAAGTCCCCTCCTCCTGCACAGGGTACAGCTCCAAATGACTTCTGCTGTTGAACCTGAGAGACCTAGAAAAAACTCTGTGCATGACCCTCTACAGTTTGTACTTTGCATGTTCAGAATTGCTAATGATTTTCTGAAATTTGGATTTCCATCCTTTTTTTTTTTTTTTCCCCCCTCACCCTTCTTTTAACAGGGAAAAGCTATTAAAGGGGGGAATTTCTGTTGTTATCAGAGGAGCTCTAGTTAAGGCTTCTGCAGGAGAAGGATTTTGCAGTGAATTTGTTTGGAATCTTGGTTCCTGATAAAAGCTGCTCCGTGCAGATGGCTGTGGACTGAGCTCGGTGTACTTTGTCCCCAGGCATGGGCCGTGGAAACCGGGAAGTACCAGGAAGGAGTGGATGAGCCAGACCCTGCCAAGTGGAAAGCCCAGCTCCGATGTGCACTCAACAAAAGCCGGGAATTTAATTTGATGTACGATGGCACCAAGGAGGTGCCCATGAACCCCATTAAAATTTATGAGGTGTGCGACATCCCGCAGTCCCAGGGATCAATCATTAATCCAGGTGAGGGCCCTGCTGCCACGGGGCTGGTTCCTGAGCAGGCATTTGTCCAACAATTCCTTTCCCTCTGTGCATTAACTCTCGAGCTGCCTTGGTGTGCAGCAGAGAGCAGCTGCCATGGTAAACCTGGGCTTAAACTAAGAGGACCTTGAACCATACTTTAATACCAGTACTAAAATGAATAAAGCTGCAAACAGTTGTGTGTTCTCTGCTCAACACTCTTATATTGGCAATACTGTACCTTACTTTATCAATACTTTATCCTTAACTCTCTAGGATTATTTCTTAAACTGAAAATACCGTGTTGTACGGATCACATTTATCCTTTTACTTATATTTGAAAAATACACAAATAATTATCTTACTTTATCAATACTTTATCCTTAACTCTCTAGGATTATTTCTTAAACTGAAAATATCTTGTTGTACAATTCACATTTATCCTTTTACTTATATTTGAAAAATACACAAATAATCCAATGCTGTGCACAACCAATATGAAGATTTTATTGTTTTTTTCAAGAAATGCATCACAGTGTTTCACGCTGACCATCCACCCACAAGAATGTGCTTGTTTTCAGGTTCCACTGGCTCAGCTCCGTGGGATGAAAAGGATAATGATCTTGATGATGAAGAGGAGGAAGAATTGAATCAATCTCAGCATGTCCCTATTCAAGAGACATTTCCATTTCTTAATATCAATGGTTGGTGGCACAGACTAATGTACTAGTGAGGCTATTTATTTGTAAATTGGTGCATGCTTGAAGTAAGATCTTTGTTTATTGAAGAACTGTTGCCTTGTTTTTAGAATCTCCAATGGCTCCAGGCAATGCAGAAAACTGCAGCCCTGAAGCTGTGTGGCCAAAGAATGAACCTCTGGACATGGAAATGCCCCCAACTGCGCTGCAGCACGACTTCTTCAGCAGCCCTGAGCTCTGGATCAGCTCTCTGCCAAGTACGTGTGTGGCTTTGTAATAGTGCTTCTGCCCTTGTACTTAAAAAAAAAAACCTAGTGTTTTCACTTTTTGTCCTGTGGCTGTTTTGCTTGTTTGCAACAACTGTGTAGAGCTGAATGTTCCTGTGACTGTAGAGTGGATTGCTGCAGTCCAGAAAGCCAACCCTGTCCTGGGCAGCAGGGGAGGGGGGGATTCAGCCCCTCTGCCCCCTCAGGTGAGACCTCACCTGCAGAGCTGCCTCCAACTCGGGGGAACAACAGCACAGCAAGGACGTGGAGCTGCTGGAGTGAGTCCAGAGGAGACACCAAGTTGATGAGAGGGATGGTGGAGCAGCTCTGCTGTGAGGAAAGGCTGAGAGAATTGGGGTTGTTCAGCCTGGAGAAGAGAAGGCTTTGGGGTGAACTAATTGTGGCCTTCCAGTACCTGAAGGAAGCCTGCAAGAAAGAGAGGGACTTTTCATAAGGACATGGAGTGGCAGGACAAGGGGAATGGCTTCAAACTCACAGAGTAGGTTTAGATTGGATATTAGGAAGAAATTCTCCCCTGTGAGGGTGGTGAGGCCCTGGCACAGGTTGCCCAGAGAAGCTGTGGCTGCCCCATCCCTGGAAGTGTCCAAGGCCAGGTTGGACGGGGCTTGGAGCAACCTGGGCTAGTGGAAGGTGTCCCTGCCCATGGCAGGGGTGGAACGAGATGAGCTTTAAGGTCCCTTCCAACCCAAACCATTTGAGGATTTCTGTGATTCTATGGTTCCATGGTGTGTCTCTGCTGCTGATGCTGAACATGTAGGGAAAAGCCACAGTGACAATTTCTCTCTCAGTGACAGACCTAGAAATCAAGTTTGAGTACCGAGGGAAGGAGACTGGACCCACAACAACCGTGAGCAACCCGCAGGGGTGCAGACTGTTCTACGGAGAGCTGGGCCCCATGCCAGACCAGGAGGAGCTCTTTGGGCCCATCAGTTTGGAGCAAGTGAAGTTTCCAGGAACAGAGCAAATCACCAACGAGAAGCAGAAGATCTTCACGAGTCGGCTGCTGGACGTTATGGACAGGGGGCTGATCCTGGAGGTCAGTGGCCACGCCATCTACGCCGTGCGGCTCTGCCAGTGCAAGGTCTACTGGTCTGGGCCCTGTGCGCCTTCCTCCACCACACCAAACCTGATTGAGAGGCAGAAGAAAGTCAAACTCTTCTGTCTGGAAACATTCCTGAGCGGTAGGTAACTTCTGCTTCTGGGAAGTGGCTTTGGATGCTGGTCTGGGCACTGTGGGAAAGGGTTGGTCTGGGTGCACCGTTTATTTTGCTTGTGTGTGGAGTGTGGGTTGGGGCCACCATCTCCCTGATTTCCATGGACCAGATGTGTGGCATAAGAAAGGGAATGTACACTCATTTAATGCTCTGAAAGACACTGGATGGCTTTGCTTTTAGAAAAAGCTCTTTGGGTGCAAGAAAAAACATGTATGTGTAAGAGGTGGCAAAGGACAGTGTGTAGGCAAGACCTGGGGATGATACAGTGAGGTGGGGTGGGGTGTTTCTAGCTGACAGAGGACAACCCTGCATCATTCTGCTTTTCTTTCTAGAGCTGATTGCCCATCAGAAAGGACAAATTGAGAAACAGCCACCCTATGAGATCTACTTCTGTTTTGGAGAAGAGTGGCCCGATGGAAAGCCCAGGGAGAGGAAGCTGATTGTGGTGCAGGTAGGAGCTGAGGCTCTGAGGTGACACAAACAGGGTGGTGTTTGGTCACAGGTTGGACTTGAGGATCTCTTCCAGCCTATTTGATTCTGTGATTCTGTGCCAGCCTTGTAGGGTTTGATGTGTTGTCTCTGGATTAGTGCCCAAGGATAGCAGAGACTTGTGGCTTCTGACACTGGGAAAACCCCAGTAAGGCTGGTGAGTTTGGGAGAAGCAAATACAAACATTACACGTGTTGGATAGAATCAGTCTGTGAGTGCTCTTTAGATTATTGTGGAAACCATCCCTGCATCCAGAACAGGGGGTTCCTGCGAAATAACAGGGTTATTCTGTGTTCCACTGGCCTAAAACAAGTGCCTTCTTCTCCAACAGGTCATCCCAGTCGTGGCCCGGATGATCTACGAGATGTTCTCGGGTGACTTCACGCGCTCCTTCGACAGCGGCAGCGTGAGGCTGCAGATCTCCACCCCTGACATCAAGGACAACATCGTGGCCCACCTGAAGCAGCTCTACAGGCTGCTGCAGAACCACCAGGAGGGGTGGCCCATGCAGGCCCCCCCCCTGCACATGGCACAGCCGCTCCCGGCGCAGTGACAGAGCCCTGACTTTGCCCCCCGCCCGGGGTTTCTTTCTGTTGTACATATAGAAAAGTGTTTCTTAACCAGTGCCTTGCCTAAACCTGAAGAAATAAAATCTGTAAATCTGGTCATCTTGATTCCATAATTTCATAGGTTCTTTTGTTTTGGAAGCCCTCAAAGCAGAGGGGATTACAGGAATGCTTCTGACTCCTTCACTCTTTTCAGCTGTTTGCTTAAGCAACCCCTGTGTATAAATCAGATTTTCAATTCTGTAATATTTTTTTTAAATCTGCTATTGATACATTGTATATAAGCACTTGATCATTAGAGGGGGAAAAAGAAAATAATCTGCTCTATTAAAACTGCCTGGAGAATATCACCTTGTCTAGTTTCTTCTCTTTAACTGGGCTGTAGCAGCAAGCTGGGATGCTGATGCTTCTTCTACTGTGCTTTTTTTTACAGAGCTGTATATACACAGGCACTGTAAATGCATATATCACAGAGTTTCTAGGGTTGGAAGGGACCCCTGGAGCTCATCCAGTACAACCCCCCTGCCAAGGCAGGGTCTCCTGGAGCAGGTGACACAGGAATTTGTCTTTAAAGAAAAACAGCTCTGCAAACTCAGAGAAACCACCTGGAGAAGAGAAGGCTCTGGGAAGAACTTAGAGCACCTTTCAGTACATAAAGGGGCTTCAACAGAACTGCAGAGGGATTTTTTTACAAGAGTATAGAGCGATAGGACAAGGGGGGATGGTTTTAAACTAAAAGAGGGAAGATTTAGGTTGGATATTGGGAAGAAATTCTTCTTTCTGAGGATGGTGGCACAGGTTGCCCAGAGAAGTGTCCAAGGCCAGGTTGGATGGGGCTTGGAGCAATTTGGTCTAGTGGGAGGTGTGAGGAGGGGATGGTCTAGTGGGAGGTGTGAGGAGGGGATGATACTTAAAGTCCCTTCCAACCCAAACCACTCTGCGACTGTGTGAAGCTCTAATGTCGCATCACAGCTCTGCGAGCTGGGCGATGCCTCTGGCTGTGCCCTCATCCCTTCCCTCCTCGAGCTCTGAGGTTTCTCCCTATTTCTGCACCCAAACAGCCTTTTCCTTATCCACGGCTCCGCCCGGGAAGGTCGCTCCGCCCGGGGCTGTGCTTAGTTAGACCCTCCCCGGGGATCGGGGCCGTGCTTGGTGAGACCCGCCCCGGGGATCGGGGCCGTGCTTGGTCAGACCCGCCCCGGGATGGGGGCTGAGCTTAGTTAGACCCGCCCCGGGGATCGGGGCCGTGCTTGGTCAGACCCGCCCCGGGATCGGGGCTGTGCTTGGTCAGACCCGCCCCGGAACCACGGGGCCCCGGCGGTGTTTCCGTGTCCATGGCCGTGGGTGGCAGCGCCCTGTCCCCCGCGCTGCTGGTGGCGGCGGCTCGGGATGCCCTGGGGGCTCGGGATGCTCTGGGAACTCGGGATGCTCAGGGCACAGGGAGCAGGACGAGGCGGCGGCTGCCGGCGGCCCGTGCCCTGCACGCAGCCGGGGAGGTGCTGGCGGTGTCGGCGGGGCTGAAGCCGGCGCTGCTCTGGGACTGCGGGGCCGCGGGACCCGCCGAGCTGCGGCGGTACCTGCGCGGGCTGCGGGATGCGGGGCTGGCCCCGCGCCGCCTCCACGTGCTGGGCATGGGGGGCTCGGCGCTGCTCCTGCACCCGCGGCTGGCCCGCGGCAGGTTGGAGGGGATGCTCCGCGCCCGCCCCGCGCCCTTCGTGGATGTCTCCGCCGGGAGGGGATGCCCCGCGCTCTGCGGGGCGCCGGAGGCCGAGGCCATCAAGGGCCACCTCGCCTCCCTGCTGGACCACCTGCAGGATGCCGAGGCCGCCGGCGCCGGGCCGGTGTCCTGCAGCGAGGTTGAGCCCGAGGACTGGAACCTGTGCACCGTGGTGGGGGTGCTGCTGGGGTACCCCGCGGTGTACACCTTCTCCAGGGAGGAGGGCGCCGAGAACTGCCTGGCACTGACACCGCTGAGGGTGTTCACCGTCCAGGCCTCCTGCCCCAGGATAAAGGACGGTCTCAGGGTCCAGATTTACTCCTTCAGCATCCCGGAGAGCCTCCACACGGAGCTGGGGGAGGTGCTGGGTGCCTGGTGTGACGAGCTGAAGGAGGCGTTCAGTGCACAGAGTGACTTTGTGGATCTCTGCATTTCCAGCGAGGTCGTGTCTCTTCCAGCAGTTGCCTTGTAAAACATGAGCAAACTCAGACTTTTTGGCCTTTCTTACATCGGGGTCCGAGGCAAAAGATCCAGTTCCCCTGTGTGTGACCCACTGCATCTCTTGGCCCCTGAGCACCAAAGGCTGAATTGTGACAGTCTCAGGCTCCTGACCTCACAGGCCAGTGGCACAACAAATACATGTACTTTAAAGAAGACAAGCATGTGGACGTGTGTGCTCACAGCTGCTCTGCAGCCTGGGTCCTGCGTGCAGATTGTGCCCTGTAAGGGTGTATTTATTTGCTGTGAGCAGCTGAGGGTGAATAAAAACTTTGAACACCACAGTACTTTGAATTTGTGAAGTTTATTGGAGGCTCTTTGTTGTATTTACTGCTCATACGAGGTGGTGTCTTGCACTGGGTCATAGCTGAGCCTCTTTATGAATGAGGGGCAAGTTCTGTAAAACCTGCACAGTGCAGCTCAAAAGGGGCTTAAAACCTCTGTCTCTCTCAAATTAATGTGGTGCTGGCAGTGAAAGGGAAGCAAATGTGGCTGAGGGAATGCTTGGCCACAAGACAGGCTAGAAAAGCAGGATAGAACAAGGCCTGGTAGATGGGAGGTGGAAAAATTGCTCAGAGCAGGCACGAGGGGAAAACAAGGGGACTGTGCTAAAGAGCCTCCCTGAGCCAGGTTTCTTTGTCAGGTACAAGTAGAGATGGTCCAGGTCAGAAATGTCCCATAGAGGGAGGCAGTAAAGAAGGGAATTTTGGGGGCAAAAAACCCAAGGGGGCTGGATCCCAAGGGCATGGGATGCCTCGTCCCTCCCTCCCTGTGTGAGACCTGTCAGTGATGACCAGAGTGGCTTTATCCTTCAGTGCCATGGGAGACAGGGCAGTGCAACCTTCAGCTGGAACAGAGTAACCAAAGCAGCTGAGGGAAGGGGTGATATTCCAGCTTTTATTGGGAGTTTGTCTGGAGTGAGACCAGCTCAGGATGTGAACCAAACGCGCAGGTACAAAACAGCAGAAGGTGCACTGCGGCGAGGTCACGGGCTTTTGGGGAAGCACAGTCAGTTCCTGCAGTGAAGTCAGTCATCAGGGGGGCCCTTCATGGCCTGTAACTTGCCAGGAAGGTGGCAATGGCCACTGCTGTGAGTGCCACCAGGAGGGGGATCCAGTGACCGCGCTGCCTCTGCGGGGAGAAGCAAGTGTTAGTGGGAATTTCACAGAGTTGGAAGGGACCACGGGGATCATCAAGTCCAACTCCTGGCCCTGCACAGGACCATCCCCAAGAGTCACACCATGAGCCTGAGAGTATCATCCAAATGCTCCTTGAGCTCTGTCGGGCTTGGAGCTGTGACCACTTCCCTGGGCAGCCTGTTCAGTGCCCAACCACCCTCTGGAGGAAGAACCTTTTTCTAATACCCACCTGCCCCTCCCCTGACACAACTCCAGGCCATTCCCTCAGGTCCCCTTGCCAGGGAAGAAACTTCTCATCTCATCCCTAGCAAACACATCACTGATCTTTCCACGCTGGGGGGTTTTCCCAGGCCGATGTGCAGTGCTGGGGTTTGGGGTTGGGGACTCCCACCTTGGCCTGCCGGCTGTGGGAGCGGTTGAGCTCGTCGCGGCACTGGCGCAGCCGGGTCAGGCAGGAGCGGTACTCCTCGCTCAGGGCCTCCAGCTCCGAGCGCAGCTCCCAGCACTGCAAGCACAGCAAGGGGGGGTTACCGGGGGGGCCCCCCTCCCTTTTGTACCCACGCAGCCTGGCAGGGCCCCCGCAGAGGCTGCAGAGCTTCACCCGCGCGCGGGCACCGCCCGGACCGGGGGGTCTCGCTCCTGCTGCCCCGGTGTCCACATGTGCCTGTGTGTCCACATGTACCTGCAGGGAACAGAGCAGATCTCGGGGTTACTGGGAATGTGGTGGTGGAGGCAGTGCCCGGTCTGTCACCAGCCCTGCTTGGCTTTGCTGCCAACCTTCACATCCCACCGGAGAAAGGAGGGATGGCGATTTTTATTATCGGGAAGGAGACGTGCAGTGCAAACTCCCATCAGGGTTTGCCTCTCATTCTGAAATTCATTCTCTATTTCACTGACCCTGACAGGAATCCCAGAGTCCCTTAAACCCTCTGAGACATGGGACACATGGGACAGGCAGCTTGGTTGTGCTGCACAACCCCAGAACCCAGGGAGGGCCCTTTCCTGAAGGGCCCATGGCACAAGACCCTGCTGCCATTCTGATGAGCAGAGCATTGGCAGCAGCCGTAGAAGGAGTTGCCCGTGCCCAGAGGCTTCAGGAGCCAAAGAAGGGGCAGTTGAATGCCCTTCCCAGCTGTTCCCTCTTGCTGTGATTGTGCTTTATAAACCCTTCCCCAGGGGATGCTGGGTGAGATTTGTTAGTGGTGATCTTCTCTCTATTATGGGTTAACATGACAAGCTCTTCTCCTGTGTGGCTCTCAGCTCTGCTACAGTAAGTTATAAATCATTTTTTACAAGTCCCTTTTTAATAAATCCTTGCTGTCTGAACTCTGCTGTAAGAATTGTGGGGCTGTTAGTTGGCAGAAGGATAATTTGATGGAAAGGAATGTGTAAAAGGCTGGAAAGGCTTGGATTGTTGTTTTGCAGCTCAGTAGCAAGGGCAGTGCTTTTGTTAGCAGACTCTGCCTGTTTTTCATATTATTGTTATTATTGCGAGCCTTTTTTTTTCCTTCTCTCCCTCCTTTGTGCTCAGAGTTTTGGTTCTTAATGTGGCTTTTTCCTGCGAGGCTCTTGAGACTCTTGTCTGTGCCAACAGAAGTGGGTTTGTATGGAGAGGGCTCTGCTGCTACAGCCAAGGGTGCTGGTACATTATCCTTCAATGTAGGTGCTTTACTGGAGATTTAGGCAAGGCTGATATCAGGATAAAAATTCAGCAGAGAGAATCCTTACAGGGGACACCAAGTTTAAGTTACCTCCAGGATCTTTGGTGTGTTGTGTTGCTGCTGGAGCTCTTAAACCAGCAACAATTCAGTGACTTCCTCACCTCATTCTCCTTTGCTGTGAGCTGGGATGTCCTTTTCTGCATCTCATCCTTCAGACTTTCTTCTCCCTCCTCCTCCTCCTCCTCCTCAGGGTGCTCTAAGAGAGTGTTTTGGTTTTCCTTGGCAGGAGTGAGAGGTGGGGTCTGGGTGGTGAAAACCTGGTCTAGAAAACA